AAAAACGAAGACAGTACAATCGGCGTTAATTGTATTTAATGAATGGGCCAGTCAAGAAATACATCTTTTTCAAGGAATGTCATCCATTGAAATCCAATGGACAGTCGGGCCTATTCCAATTGATGATAATATTGGTAAAGAGATCATCGTACGTTATGATACTGACATCGATAGTGCATCGAAATATTACACGGATGCTAATGGACGTGAAGTACTTGAACGAATACGTAATTATCGACCAACATGGAACTATTCTATTGTCGAAAATGTTAGTGGCAATTATTATCCAATCAATAGTCGCATTTGGATTCGAGATAGTGCACGGCAATTGACTATACTTACGGGTAATTATAGAACTGGCTACAAACTATTTCTGTAGCATTTTTTGAAAATTATTCTCTTTGTAGATCGATCTGAAGGAGGTGGAAGTATTTACGACGGTTCAATCGAAATTATGATTCATCGGCGTTTAGTCCACGACGATTCAGAAGGTGTTGATGAACCATTAAATGAAACAGCTTTTGGTAAAGGTCTTGTAGTGCGTGGTAAACATTTTCTCATTCTCGAATCACCTGCAAACAGTGCTCTTGCTCATCGAGTCGATGCTCAACAATTGTTCATGAATCCTATTGCTACATTTGCATTGCCTCAAATGTCTTATGCAAAATATTCCAGTATTTATCGTCAAACATGGTCTACTCTATCGGAAAACATGCCACTCAATGTTCATTTATTAACACTTGATCAATTGAATCCTAAACAATATCTTCTTCGTATTGAGCATTATTTTGAATTGAACGAAGATGAAACCTATTCACATCCGGTTAGAATCGATCTACAAACAATATTTCAAAGTCTCGGCACAATTACTGATCTAATTGAATTGACACTTGCTGCCAATTTTCCTCTGTCTCAATTGCAACGACTTGATTGGATAACAACTGATAAGGAATCATCACATGTCGATGTATCACCTGGTGAGTATTGGTTCGATCGATACAACTTACTTAGATCATGTTCTTTTGTTCTTAGAGCAATTTTTATTAAAAGATACAATAGTCATACTCAATCCAATGCAAATTAAGACATTTCAAGTTACATTGTGATACGAACGATTTTGCGATTGAATTTTTGTATTCTTTTTATTCCTCTCGATGAACTGAGCATCAAATCTTAAAGAATGTGCGCATTTTGGCCAATAAATTTCGAAGAATAATTCGTTTATTAATGTTATGATTGATAACTCTAACTATTTGAGTGACGCTGTTAATGAAAATAGCACATCGTATTGTTCAATTTGCATTTATAATAAAGTATTGAATAGATGGTTCACTAATAATACAATGTCAATACCAATAGCTGCTGAAGATAGAACTTTAGGTTTTGTTCCGAATAAACTTTCAGATCATCATGAAATTCCTTCGAAATTACGTAGAAGTGCGTTCTTTTAACTTGAATGAAAAACGTAATCAATGAAATGTATCTGCTGATAAACTTGCACTTACTGTCAGATGATCTTTGTCAACTTTGCTTTTGGGTATTGACCTTTGTGTTCTTTTACAATACCTTGAAAGATCTCTTAGACAGAAAGATAAATCTTATCGCAGCAAACGTACCTGCAAGTACAAGTACTTCTCCCTGAAGTCACCAGTGACTTTTTTTGTCACATATTTATTTTGTACAAAGACACTTCAATTCATTGATTACCTGTATTACGGTTTCTTATCATAAATTTTATGGAGAAAAAACATCTGATGACTATAAACAATAATTTATAGTTTTTGAGTAGAAGTACATTTGATATAACCTCATCATCGGCGCAAATTGTACACTATATAAGGACGGTAGTTTCTCGCGAATTGATATCTTCTACATTTCTATACAAATAAAACGTTCGAATCAGGTAAGTAGGTACTAACTTGCTTAGACGGATATTGTTGAAGATTTGAGTTCCGGGACGATCTTCTAATGTTACATTCATTTGTGCACTGTTCTCAGAAATATTTTGGGTTATTTGTGATCATAAAGTCTCCTTTGAATTTCAATAAACAATCATCAAACTGTGTATCTGTGTACAAGAATTATTAAAAAATTGAATTGAAAAATGGAAAACGAAATAGAAAATGCGGAACAACAACTAAACCTATTGAGCACAACAATGCCGAGAAAACGATCGAAATCAAAGTTATTTGACTACGAATAATTCTATAGAATATAAATTCAAGTGAACTTTTTCAGAGATCAACGGTCACGAGCCGTTTCTCAAGTAATAATTCAACATTTATGGGCTGTTCTATTATTATTCGCAGTTGTGGCTGCAGGAATTGTTGCAATCATTTATATTCCTCGACTTATGAATAAGAATGATGAAAATATTGTTCTGAAACAAGGTAAATTATCAATCGGAAAATAAAATTTTCATTTCATGTGATACAAAAGTAATTGAAATTTATCTCTTTTTTTTAATAATTAAAGGAACATTCTTTGGTAGAAATCCTTATCAACGAGGAAGTTCAAATGATGATTATGGTTTAAGTCGCAGTCGAAACAAAGGAAGACAACTATTTCTTCGACGAGTAAATCTTTTTTAACCTCTCAAATGTCATTAATTATTTTAAAATGAACAAAAGCAAGGTCCACCTGAAGCAATTGGTCGAGTCATTCTTTTCTTCAATCAACCAGCGGTCAATGGAAATCGAAGAATTCCACGACGTGTACATATCCCTGCCATTCAATATGACCGACGACGATTTTGTATGTTGATCTATTTCTTTGATGAATTTTATCATTCTTTTGTAGCTTTGGGAGAAGACTTTACAAAATATATGCTTTCAACTCCAATATTTGCCCATCGATTCACTAAAGAAACGATTATTTATTCATCAGGATCAGGTAAATCGTATTTCTATAGAGAGAAAATCAATTCGGATAAAATATTTTCAAGTTTACATTTTACCTTCGTTGATCGATGCTGATGAAAGACAATATTCAATTGCTTCGCTTATTGCATCTGGTCACATTAGTTTAGTTGATCCAAGAATAAGATCAAGTAGTTCATCGGATATGACACATTATTTTCGATCAACACCGAGTCAGTTCTCTTGTCAATATGTACATTATCTTTTTATTAATTATATACGTGTATTATAGTAAATGGGCCAGGTATTCCTGATATGGATAGGGAAACGGGAGGATTTTCTGGTAGTATGCATACGAACATCGGCTCTTTCGGTACCGATGATGATGAAGTTGATGAAGATGATGATGAAGAGGAATATGAAAACGAGTATCGAAAGCCATCGCGTGGAAAGAATAAATATGATCCAACACGAACTCGTCATACACGTGAGTGAATTTCGATAGAAATCAATCGAGAAGATTCATCTTCCCTCATAGAATCACCGAAAACTTCGAAAACATCAACAACTTCAACGACAACGATGAAAAGTACCACGACCTCAACAAACGGTGCAAGAAGCAAGTGTATTTTCTTAATATAGAATTAAGAAATGTTCGATATTTCTTCAGAAGCAATTTCAACTCGTAAACCTGTTCATGTACATGCCACATTAATTCTGGATTATATTTATCCATATCCACAATCGAAAAAACCCGTTATATCTGCGAATTATTCCTATCCAGGTCCTTTAATTGAAGCTTATGAAAATGATACTTTGATCATTCGAGTAATCAATCGATTAGATGTTCCATCAGGTATCCATTGGCATGGAATTTTACAATTTGGTACTCCAGATATGGACGGTGCTATTGGTGTTACACAATGTGCAATACCTCCAAATCATGAAATGATTTATGAATTTAAAGCCGAACCAGCAGGAACATTGTGGTATCATGGGCATCTTCTTGAACAATATGCAGATGGTTTAATTGGACCATTAATCATTCGTCGTCAAGATGAATATTATAGTGAATTATATGATAGTGAACAAACACTTTTAATTTCTGATTGGTATAATCTTCGTGCACATCATGATTTGATGTCTTGGCATTCACATCGTTTAAATCCATTTGGTCTTCCTCCTCTTCCAGATGCAATTGTTGTCAATGGGAAATTTACTCAATCATTGTTCATTCCACTGTCTGGTTCTAAACATATTCGATTTCGAATAGTAAATAGTGCTATTTATTCAATGTTTACACTCTCAATTGATGGTTTACCTTTACATGTTATTGAAGTTGATTCAACTATAACTGAACCGTATGTTGTAGATTCATTTGCAATCAATGTTGCTCAACGTATTTCATTTTATGTTGATTTAACTGAATTAGATTCGACATATGCATTACCAAATGGATCATTACCTCAATCGCTTTTTATTCGAATTAAAGCAGTTACTTCGAACTTCTTTGAAGATATTCTCAATTATATTCCTCCCTATGAAAATCAGTCTTATCCATATCCAACATTTTATACTCCATTATATGTCGCTATTTTATCAATTGATTCAACAAATTCAACTCCATCTTACGCAATTAGTGCCGCGACTCCAATCCCCGCCAAAACTGTAACTCCATTTGAAACAAATCTTCTTGATGCTCGACCATTAACTCAGACTGAAACAACAATTCCAAATGCAACACATTATTTAAATGTTCGTGTTAAATTTGATTTTGGTACAGATGGACTTGTTCATGCATTCATCAATAATGTCACTTATTCTTCAGATGCCAATTATATGCATATGAGAGATGATCCAGCGATAGGATTTACTTCAGATCTGTATTCGCCATTAGTTTATCAAATGGTCGAAAAAATCAATGAATTAGGAATTTCATCACCTTTTTAGAAAATGAAAATTCTTTATCAATTATTCAAAGTGATCAAAATGGACATTATTTAGTTCCTTATAATGCTGTTCTTGATGTTCTCATCAATAATACAGCTGTTGGTGAACATCCATTTCATCTTCATGGTTTTACTTTTTGGGTAATTGCAACATCTGATTATCCAGATGCTGAAACATTGTATGCAGGAAATTATTTACAACGTGATACGATTAGTGTACCATCAGGTGGTTGGGCGAAAATTCGATTTCTTGCTGATAATCCTGGTGCATGGTTCTTTCATTGTCATATTGATTGGCACATGGCTGATGGATTAGCGTTGGTTTTCATTGTCGCACCCGAACAAATGGTGGCTAATGGATATCAAATTCCAGAAAGTGGATTGAAACTTTGCAAAGCTTTACAACGATTCAACAAAACTTATTAAATCAAACTTCTCTCTTCTCTCTTTTTCACAATTTCATCTTTCAATAAAAATTCTATTTTTCTTTCATTGAAACAGAAAACGATCTTAAGATTCTGAAATCACAAACTGTTTTTCTTTCTTATGTTGTTATTCTGAAGGACAATGACAAATAATTGCGTTGATATTTCCCGTACTATAAATCAATGCATTTGTATAGACAAGACATGTTGCATTTGGATTTCGATACCAACGTTGTGGATTACAAATATCATGAGATTCATTGTGTTTATAAAGATTGTGATCAACACTTAAATCGCCTTTATAATGCCAATCGATACATTTACCACAACTTGGACACGCGTTTCCACCACAAAATTCATTTTTCTTTAAAACCTTTTTCTTTGTTGATTTATCTGATTGATTCGCTTTTAGAAAAAAAAAGAAATCAAATTTGGTTTGTAGATGAACAAAACTCAATGAAAATCGTTGGATTGTTTACCTTGTGACGATGGTTCTGATGTTGGTGGAGTTTCGTTAGTATTTGTCGTTGGTTTCTCATCGGATTTCGTGTTTTTTCCAGTGTCTTTCTTCATTTGAATTGATTATCTAGAAGAAAGAAAGAATGTGTGTCTATCTATCGAATTTAGAACACATTTTGAAAAGTATATAAAATTCGTTTGTTTGATTTCTATGGAGAAAACAATTCAAGATTTTCTTTTCTATTTGAAGTGTTTTTGAAACGCACAAAAACACATTGTTTTTAAACAACACACATTTTCTCTTTCTTTTCTTGTGATCGGACTGTGCGAACAATTTATTCTATAAACGATCAAAAATTGCAAACAATAAAGAAACATTGAATTTCTATATATTTGAATATAAATTCACTATGAACACATGATAAATCACATACAGATAGTTATTTGATACCTATAGCGACATCAATTTCTCTCGGTCAAATACAAAATATCACTGGATTAGTTTGTTGTCTCAACCATTGGCGAATGTTTTGTGGTTTTCTCACATATGTCTAAGACTTTTTTTGTACAGTTTGCACGGTGAATATAAAAACAACAGAGGAATCGAATCTCTGATTAGAAAATCGAAAAATGAACAAAGTATTTTATGATTTAATACGAAATTGTCCAAAAGGTCGTTGGGATGGAATTCAAAGAGTTTATGGTCCTGAAACAGTTCATCGATTGCGAAGTGCAATTCAAATTGAATATACTTTAGCAGTAAATGATTTGAAAAGAAAGTATTTTCTCAATTATTGTTCATCTCGTAGACAAACGGTGCGAACAATTTGTGGAATTTATTGAAAAATGAAGAATATATTCAATCGCTTGGAGCTCTAACTGGAAATCAAGCAATGCAAATGGTTCGTGCTGGTTTACATGCGATTCATATGTCAGGTAAATCTCATTTATTTGATAAATTTCATTGAGAAAAAAAAAGAATATTTAGGTTGGCAAGTGGCAGCAGATGGAAATACAAATGGTTCAATGTATCCTGATCAAAGTTTGTATTCATCAAATTCAGGACCAGAAATAGTTCGACGAATAAATAAAACTCTTGAACGTGCTTCACAAATTGAACAATCGGAAGGTGAAATAAAACATAATTGGTTTGTTCCAATTGTTGCTGATGCTGAAGCAGGATTTGGTGGACCATTGAATTGTTTTGAACTTACAAAAGCTTTTATTGAAGCTGGAGCAGCAGGAATTCATTTCGAAGATCAATTAGCTTCACACAAAAAATGTGGACATTTAGGTGGAAAAGTAAAAACAGATCTCAAATGGTTTTTTTTATTGAAGAAAATCTTTTTTTTTAGGTTTTAATCTCAACAAATAATCATTTACGAAATTTACATGCTGCACGTTTAGCTGCAGATATTTGTGCTGTTCCAACGATCATTATCAGTCGCACAGATGCAGAATCAGCTAAACTTTTAATGTCAGATATTGATGAACGAGATAAAGAATTTCTCGATTTATCTGCGGATCGAACTTCCGAAGGATTTTTTCGTTTAAAACAAGGAATTGGATTGAAACATTGTATTAAAAGAAGTCTTAATTCAGCACCATATGCAGATCTTCTTTGGTGGGAAACATCAAAACCAAATTTAGAACAGGCAAAAATATTTGCCGAAGCGATACGAAAAGAATTTCCGGAGAAATTATTAGTGTACAATTGTTCACCTTCGTTCAATTGGAAAGCGAATTTAAGTCCAAAAGAAATGAAAACATTTCAAATTGAACTTGCTGCAATGGGATACAAATTTCAATTGATTGCACTTGCGGGATTTCATTCGTTGAATTATGGAATGTTCAAACTTGCCAAAGAATATAAAGAACAAGGAATGTTGGCGTATTCACAATTACAACAAGAAGAATTTCAAGCAGAAAAAGATGGATATACAGCAGTTCGACACCAAAGAGAAGTTGGAACGGGATATTTTGATTTAGTGACTTTGGCAATAACAGGTAAACATTCTTCAATGTAAAAAGATAATTAGAAAAAAGAATTTAGAAGGAGAAAACAATACAACTGCATTTTCTGATTCGACAGAAGCGGAACAATTCAAATGGGAAAACAAATAAATTCTTTTTTTTTTTATTTGAAAAAGAAATGATGGAGAATCGATGAATTTGTAATCTGTATCTTTTAGATATTTAATGAAGACGATATCGAATGTACGACCAATTGCCGATAAAATCCTTCGAGATATTTCATCTTATGTTCATAATTACAAAATCCAATCTTCTCTCGCATTTGACACAGCAAGATTATGTTTTCTCGATACACTCGGATGTGCTTTAGAAGCTTTGAAATATCCTCAATGTACTCGATTAATTGGTCCAGTTGTACCTGGAGCAACAATTCCAAATGGAGCACGTGTTCTCGGTACAAATCATATTTTAGATCCTGTTCGAGCTGCATTTTCTATTGGAACACAAATTCGATGGTTAGATTATAATGATTGTTGGCTCGCAGCTGAATGGGGTCATCCAAGTGATAATCTCGGAGGTATTTTAGCTGTTACTGATTATCTTACTCGAACTGCAAAATACTTCTCTTCATTAAATCAACAAAATGCAAAGATCTTCAAAGTTCACGATGTTCTTGAAGCGATGATCAAAGCTCATGAAATTCAAGGTGTATTGGCTTTAGAAAATTCATTTAATCGAGTTGGTTTAGATCACGTTGTATTGGTCAAAGTGGCCACAACTGCAGTTGTATGTCGACTCTTAGGTTTAACAGAATCTCAAACAGTTGATGCACTTTCACATGCGTGGATTGATGGACAAAGTCTTCGTACATATCGACATGCACCAAATACAATGTCAAGAAAGTCTTGGGCAGCTGGTGATGCGTGTATGCGTGCTGTTCATTTAGCTTTGTTAGTTGAAAAAGGTGAAAGTGGAATATCATCAGCTTTAACAGAGAAAACTTGGGGATTTTATGATGTTTGTTTTCAAGGAAAAGAATTTAAACTTCAACGAGATTTTGGATCGTATGTTATGGAAAATATTCTTTTCAAAATCTCTTTTCCAGCAGAATTTCATGCACAAACTGCTGCTGAAGCTGCATTGATCTGTCATAATTTACTTAAAGAGAAAGGATTTACAGCTCCACAAGATATTAAATCTGTTCGTATTCGTACACAACAAGCTGCAATGCGTATCATTGACAAATCTGGTCCACTCTACAATTTTGCTGATCGAGATCATTGCATTCAATACATCGTCGCCATTCCATTGATATATGGTCGTTTAACTACGAATGATTATACTGATGTCGTGGCTTCGGATCCACGAATCGATGAAATGAGAACGAAAATGATTTGTATCGAAGATCAACGTTTTACACAAGAATATTATGATCCAAATAAACGTTATATTGGTAATGCAATTCAAATTACGCTTAATGATGGGACGGAATTGGATGAAATAGAAATTAATTATCCGATTGGTCATAGAAAACGCCGAGAAGAAGGAGAAATCTTATTGATGGACAAATTCCAACGACATCTCCGTGGAAAATTCGATGAGAAAAGAGTCGAAAAGATTCTCAATCAATCTCAAGCAGGTTTTGAATCGACTGATATTGATGATTATATCAATTTGTATGTCTAAATCTACTTTTGAAATAAAAAGAAAAGTTATTGGATAAATCATTGTCATAAGTCAAAATAATCTCATTTAATGCTTCATTAATTTTCCATTGTTCTTTTTGTTTTTCTTTATGTATAAAATATATGTATTTATTCTCCGTAGGATATATTAAACTCAATGTGAAATTTAGTTGATTTCCATTGATGAAGAATTCGACAATTGATGATAATCTTCTTGTTAATGAAGATGAACAAATATTAATTATGAAAAAGAGAAATCGATTATGTTTTCGTATGTTTTTTGGAACAATGTCACAATTAAATGAAATTTATTGTGAAAATCAATTTCTTTCGAAATGGAAATTTCTTCGATATATTTTAATATATTTTGATAGTGTGTTTCGTGGAATTGGTCAAGTAATGTTTGCTAATAATCCTTTATCTGGATTAATTATTTTCTTTGGATTATATTGTGGAAATTCTCAATTATCTTTTTATGGATTTTTTGGTACATGTATTTCAACATTAACAGGTTATTTATTTGAATTTGATTCAAATTTAATTCGAAATGGATTATTTGGTTATAATGGATGTTTAATTGGAATGGCAATACCATTTTTTACTTTATCAAATTCTTATTATCTCATTTGTCCAATAATAATCTTCAGTATCTTTTCAACAATATTTTATGTGTCAATAAATCGATTCTTTGTTCGTTATATGGATATTTCCTCATTTACATTTAGTTTTCAAATGTGTACATGGATTTATATTCTTAGTTGTTTCAAATCTCATCATTTTCAATTGAATCACGATCTGATTTCACCTCATTTATTGAAAATATCCGATGAAAAAGTGAAAATGACATTTGAAAATTATTCTTTACAAATGAATTTTCAAGGTTTTCTTTCGGGTATTTCTCAAGTTTATTTTATTGAAAATGTTTATACGGGAATGTTTATTCTTATTGGACTTTGTCTTTGTTCTCGAATTCTTGCATTTTTTGCTTTATTCGGATCGATAATTGGTCAATTATTTGCCACATATGTTTTTCAAATGTCAGTTGAATCAATTCGATCAGGATTATGGGCTTTTAATTGTGTATTAACATGTCAAGTGTTAGGTGGAATGTTTTTTGTTTTATCCGAATATCAAATATGGTTTTATACATTTTATGGATCATTGATGACATTATTAATTCAATTAAGTCTTTCATCATATTTCTCTTCAATTGGTCTTCCTGTTTTAACATTTCCATTTACTTTTATTTCTTGGATCTTTTGTTCAATAAATCAATGAAAACGATTAATATCTGTTCCATTAACATTTGTTCATTTTCCTGAAGATCATCTTCAACAATATCGATTTTGGAAATCAATTCAAAATCAATTTCCCCAAATATTCTCATCAGATCAAATGACAATTTGGGAACAAATAAAAATGATAAAAAAAGATTTGTTTTCAATTCTTTCGTGTTCCTTTGCGTATCACAATGATTTGAAAACTTTAAAAATGTTTCCAAATCTTGATTTTGTTGATTATAATCATCGAAGTGTTTTACACATCAGTTGTTGTCAAGGAAATCTTCAAATGTGTCGATAGTTAATTGATCATATGAAAATGAATGTGAATTTCTTTGATAAATTTGGTGGAAATGCTTTATTTGATGCATTTGTCAATGAACATTTCCATTTATGTGAATTTCTTTATTCTCGTGGTGCTCGATTTCCTGAAAATAAACAAAAAGAATTCTCTTTTTATTTGAATTGTTTTGTTAATGAAAATCATTTCGCTGCAATTCAATGTTTAATGAAATGTGGTCTAAATCCAAATCTGAGCGATTTCAACGGTGAAAATGCTTTACACGTAGCTGTGATGAACAATCATTCGCATCTTGTTCATTATTTTATTGAAGAAACAAAGATTTCTTTCGCTAACGATCTACTCGTTACTGATTATTTGTCAAACAATCGTAAATCTCAATCAAATCCTCATGTTGACATTCTCATCGAAAACAAATCCAATGAGAAAATTTCCCAGTCGCTATTCGAAGGAAGTCCGTGGCCATATTTTCTTTGTAAAGACACAAATGAGAATAATCTGAAGAAAATTTCTGAATTTGTTCAATTAAATCCTCATGTGAATATCATTGAATATGTTGATTATGATTTGCGTTCAATTGCACATCTGGCTGTTGTTCAAAATCAACTTGAAATCATTCGATTTTTATTTCAAAACTATGGAACATCTCAAATGAAACAATTAATGTCTCAAGAAGATCGATGGGGTTTTTCACCATTAGATGAAGCATATCGTCTTGAACATTTCGAAATTTATCAATTCATTCAACAAAATTTCCTTCAATCAGAAAATCAAATTTCGAAATTTCAAAATCGATCTTGGACTTCTTTGTTAAGAAAATGGAAAAAGGTTTTTCTTTTTTCTTCTTTAGTTATATCGAATGAAGTCGAACAAATTGATTCACTTTTTCAACGTGCTCATTTTATTTCAACAGAAACTTACGCTGATTACTATGGAAGAACACCAATGCATCTAGCAGCGATCCATGGACATTTCAATGTTGTCAAATTACTTGTTCAGTATGGATATCACAGTACACCAGATCGATTCGATCGTTATCCCATTGATGAAGCAAAACAAAGAAATTTTCAAGAAATTGTTCAACTTTTACAAAAATAAATGAAACGTTTCAATTTTTAATCTGAACTGAAATGAAAATTTGCACTTTGATGAGTTTTTCTGTGAGAAAAAAGTTGATGAACACAACAAATGTAATGCTCAAACCTCAGAATCTCGACTTAATTCAACAATAAGACAGACGACAACAATTGTATATGTTCACTAAGACTTAACTCAAATAATTTGTGTAAAAACAATGAATAACACACCGATCTGAAAAGGAAGAGTCTCACAGAACCGTGTTGTTACACAGATTTTTAGAGATCGCGGAGTTCCATCATGTCCCAGGAGTTGCGGATCCATCGCAAGTCGTCGAGCGAATGTCAGCAGGATTTATTCGAATCCGTTGCTAATTTTCGCACTACGTAAAAAAGAAGATTTTACAAATATTTTAGAATTCTGAAGCAAACTCATTAAATTGTAGAAAATCGATTAAAAGTTATTCGGTTTAACAATTATTTTAATAGAGTTTATGAAAATAAAAATAAAGATCGTCATTATAAGACAGGATCAGAAATTGTTATTCTTTGGTGAATGAAAGAGACATAAAGTAAATGAATTGCGTCTGTTGATGGTGCTAATCAGAAATCTGAATAGACAAGAATACTTTGATTTTGAAAAATGTTTTAAAAGCGCTTTTGTTTGTTTATCTATCAATGTTTATGTAAACAACATTTGTTAGTATTTAATAAAATGAAGATAAAACCAAATGATTGGTCTACAGCAATTATATCTGGATAATTATCTCCATTAAAATCACCAACATCAATCCAAATATAAGTACTATTCAATTCCTCTGTTAATACTTGTTCTATATGATAATTACCAGATCTCGATCCAACGAGTATTTCTATTCGAAATGGATTAGATTCGCTAAAAACGATATCTAAATAACTGTCACAATTAAAATCAGCAGTTGCGAGTTTAAATGGATTCATAGGTTTTTCAATTTTAAATATTCTATANTTTAGTTATATCGAATGAAGTCGAACAAATTGATTTACTTTTTCAACGTGCTCATTTTATTCCAACAGAAACATATGCTGATTATTATGGAAGAACACCAATGCATCTAGCAGCAATCCATGGACATTTCAATGTTGTTAAATTACTTGTTCAATATCGATATCACAGTACACCAGATCGATTCCATCGTTATCCCATTGATGAAGCAAAACAAAGAAATTTTCAAGAAATTGTTCAACTTTTACAAAAATAAATGAAACATTTCAATTTTTAATCTGAACTAAAATGAAAATTTGCACTTTGATGAGTTTTTCTGTGAGAACAAAGTTGATGAATTGTATATGTTTACTAAGACTTAACTCAAATAATTCTTCTAGAAACAATGAATAATACATCGATATGTTAGGTAAAAACTTTTTTTACGAAATAAGTTTCGTCCCTGAAAACTATACCATTCGACTCAGAATTTAACTCTGCATCGAATGGTGATGTTTCAACTCATGGGACAAACTTTGAAACATTTTTTATTTGGATCATAAGTAGGCCTGTATGAGGGAAACAAAGGTATAGGTAAACATTTTTTCCAAAGTTTGTCCCGCGAATCGAATCATCACCATTCGATGCAGAGTTAAATTCTGAGTCGAATGGTATAATTTTCAGGAACAGGATTTATTTGGTAACAAACTTCTTAGCTAACACATGGTTTGTTCGTGCTATAACTTCACACTGATTTACTTGGGATTGTTGCAGTTCATTGGATATCACAAATACACAACCTGTAAAGTTCATAGTATGATAGAATACTTCGATATTGTCGAGAAAAGTTAGGAGAACTTCCTTGTGAAATATTTGTCAAAAAGAAGACCAAAACAAAGAGTTTATGGTTATGACAATATCTTTGTAATTAGATCAAATATTTTTGAAGAACATCTAGGTCGAATTCTCCAGAATTCCGTAGAATCGTGATCATTCCAACATCCAGAACCACCTGTCGGAATCCTGTGGTTAGGACGGCGGCAGCTTTTGACGGATTCCCATCGAATCCGATAAAATCCAGTCGTTTTTCCGACGCGATCCAACTGTCGGATTGAATCACATGGGCAATTCAAAATGATTTTTCTATTGTAATTTTTTCAAAAGATATTCTTTTTTTCATTGACAAATTCTTCAATAGAACATTTCTTTTGACCTTTTCTTTTAATGTCTAGATGTCGAACTCGTGTTTTTACATTAATACGAAGAATATTTCCTAAATAATGTTTTGAAGGAAGATTTCAGAAGTGTAAACTGAGTGTGTACATGACAATTTGAAAAATGTCATCATGTTTAGAAAAGTAATTCTTTTCCAAGAAGAGAAGAATCGAGATGAACGATGAAATTGACAAATGTCAAAAGTATAGAATTTTCTTTGAAGATTCGAAATATATTATTTTCTCTTTTTATTTATTATCTTATTTCTTTTGAAAAGAAAAAATAAATTTGAAAAGAAAAATGATTGATTATAATTATGAAACAATTGGTTTTATTATAACAATAATCGCATTTATTGTTATTTGTATGTCTTATTTCATTTGTTTTTTTTAATCATAATTTATTATCAATATCATAATCGTTTGAATGACAAGAAAAGATCACATTTTTATTCACTGTAAATACTTATACTTATCTCATCGAATTAATTCCATTTAATTGTCAAACAATACTTAGTTATCTTTATGAAATTAATTTTAATTCATCATGATGTATTTTCAATCGATATTTCATTATTTCCATATGTTCTGTTCGTTTATAACACTGTTGTTCTTCAAGTTAAATTTCTTCAATGAAAATTTCTTTTCTTTGCTCTAAAAGGTTGTTTTTCAAACTCCAATACAATTAATTGGAGGTCTTATCGTTTTATCTCCTAATTCTAATTTGGAAAAATATTATTCATTCACCAAATGATCATTTTTGTTGTGTTTCATTTCGAATAACATCCAGTGTTCTTTTGGCTGTTTTTGCTTGTTATGAACTTCCTCTCAGTTATATTCGTTATAACAATGTTTATTCGTTGTCAATCCAATACTATTATATTTCAAATTAAATGAAGAAAACAATGAGATTTACTTGAAATTCAACATATTTTTATCAGCATTACTTTATATCATTAACAATTGGATTTCCAACAATAGGCCTTTTAATTTTTCTTTTTATTACAGGAATTGAAAATCCTTTACTTTATCATATTTGATAGATTAGAGCGGAAGTCTCCATGGCTATTTTTCAGTATAGAAATGATTTTAATGACAACTGCATTGAGAAATATTATTTTCAATAGATGGCGACAAAATCCAACAAGAATTATTNGAATATACTAAATAGATTTCATCTAAGCTTGTAAAATTCCAAAGATATTATTACAAGGCAAGAAACCTAGATGAAGCTCTTTGGAAAATCCCTATTAGGATCGAGAATGAGTGATATCTATAGTAATCATATGTATATAAGAGAAGGAAGAGAACGAACATATGGAAAAGACCCTATGTCATGAGTCATCTTATGGTACGTCATATTACGTGCCATAACAGATAGTATCGTTTATTCTTATAACAAAGAATGTTTGATCACATGCTCTAACAACTTTGTATATAGGCAATAGGGATCCGCAGTTTACTAATTACATCGAATAAAATAAATTGTAAAATTTAGATTAAAAGTTTTCCGTGGAAAAAACATTTCTCACGTTTTCGAAAATGGGAATTTTCAAATTTTCCACATGGTTAGCAGAAAAGTATCCAACAGTTATTCAACCATCCATTCCGGTAAGTGAAATATAAAAAAGACATCATGTATATGTCGTGCCGAAGTTACAGCTTTGCCAACATAATTTATGTTTTCTATCTGTGTGAAATTTTAGGTCGATAATCTTTATCTGGATTTAAACGAAATCATTTATGCGTGTGCAGATTTGGAGGGAACATCAGAAGCAAAAAATGAAAATCAAATAATTCAATCAACTCTCGAACATGTTGAAGAAATATTTCGAATTGTTCGTCCACGTAATTTACTCTATATTGCTCTTGATGGTGTTTCACCCAAAGCGAAAATGCATCATCAACGTGTAAGCCTTTGGCTATATGCCAAAAACCATGTCGCTAAAAATGAACAATTCACTAAATGTGATATAAAGCCAGGTACAATGTTTATGTCAAGATTTTCGAATGAACTACGATCATATATTAATAAGCGTATGAATAAGGATCCAGATTGGGATAGGATCACAGTAATCCTGTCAGATGCAAATGTACCTGGTGAAGGTGAGCACAAAATAATGGATTTTATACGGGCACAAAAACCTCAAAATGTCGCTACAAATCATGTTATATTCAGTACCGACTCTGATATGGTACTACTTGCTTTAACGCTTCATTTCAATAATATCAGAATAATGCGTCGCAGAGAAAATCAATACACATTTGTCGACGTGAGGAATTTACGTGAAAACATACGAATGGATTTCAAGGTGCCAGTAACGAATCTACAGCCGGAAAGAATAATCGATGACTGGGTGCTCATGTGTTTTTTGGCAGGAAATGATTTTCTTCCTGATATACCGTTCATTGACTTCGATAGACCTAATCAAATCGAAATACTTATGAACATTTACGAAAAATACATACTCACACAGCATCAATATTTAACTGACGGTCCGGAACTCAAACTAGAACAATTAAAAATTCTTTTGAAGCATATTGGCGACCATGAAAGAACTACAGTTTTGAATATTCTGCAGCAGGATAAAACACTGTCCTTCTTTTCATTAGATGATAGCAAGTAAGTAGGCAAATACTTGAAATTTTCGCAGCTATTTTATATGGTCTATCTTAGAGAACAAGAACTAAGTAATAGGTCATTACCAGCAAGCTTGCGCCCGCCATCATTTCAGAAATCACGAAATTCAACATCTGATGACGCGAATCAAGCCAGAGCAGTTGCATCGTCGACGACAGTGAAAAGTAATATCTCGCATGATTCTGAGCTGTCATACCGAAATGATTGGTATCGACGAAAATTCAATGTCAACCACAACAAATTAGAAGAACTCTCTATCAAAGTGGGCAAAAGTTACATTGACGGTTTACGTTGGATGCTTTGGTATTATCACCAGGGTGTACCATCATGGGACTGGTATTTAATTTGTTGAGTATTCATAACGGAATGATTTTTGTTGTATCTTAGGTATTATCCATATTAATATGCTCCGCTTGCCTCCACATTCTCAAACGTTGATGTTAGATATGTTTCTGAGATTCTTAAGAAAGATTCACAACCGTTGAGACCATTAGAACAAATGATGGCTACATTTCCTTCAGCATATGCACGTTATCTTCCCAATAACTGGCAACCATTGAGGTTGAATCACTCAGGTATTTCTAATATTTATTCATTGAATCCTATTTCTGATCCTAATGGAAAACGTTATGAAAATCAGCACGTTGTTCCGCTGCCATTCGTCGATGAGGAGCGTTTATTCCAAGCTCTCAGCTCGATCGATTCGACTTTGTCAGCAGACGAACAAATACGCAATAGACATGATGATGATCGTTTATTTATCCATCCAACAAACCCACATTATCAAGAGTTTAATAATCTATATACAAATAATGAAAATTAAATTAAATTGAGTGGCTTTATGAATGGGAAGATTATGCCCGAAGATGTACATATCAGACGTAATGGTGAAGTTCTATGCGTCAAATATCGAAAATAGTGAAAATGAAAAAGAAGTCATCTTCATTACTATTTCACAAGCAGTATTAAAAACAGTCAGAGAATAATGAAAACTTTTCTTTATTTCATCTTGGTTTTATATAAATTTTTCTTATGTGTAATAAAATCATACCGGGGGAAACCTGGCAATTACCGGATGGTCGTTTTTCATAACAGAGTTGACACACAGCTCTCGACATTCCTGGTTCTTTACAACAGTTATTTCACGGTATAATATCATGCCCGTTGTGTGCTTCACAACTGATTTTCTCTGCAAAGTGTTTCGGTATACGACATAGACGATCTGGTGTTCTCTCTGAAACACGATTGCATTTGGTTCATTACTATACTATTTTTTCACATTGTCACAGTACTTTTTGTCGTTCGAATTCTATATGAAATCTTTTTCTCCTCTATCCTTTACTTGGTGATGGTAAAAGTGTTGTATAAGTAAAGCAGCAAGGGTGAAGTAGTAAGAAAACGATATTAGAAACTGAACTGAACTTTGACTTATCTTTACAGTCGTTTTCGATGTTAATCATTCATACATGTCGCCACTTTTATGGGTTTTAACATTGCTCGATTAATATGTTCCCCACGGGCTAAGCTCATGGCAACGGAACTTTTCTGATGTTGAAAATAGATTCGAATACATTCTTGAATTTTTATCAGATTTCTTGTTTGGTTTGCATGCTGATTAAAATTCTACTCGTAATTTAAACTATAGAGGGTGTGTGTTGATGACATGATTATACACCTCTTCTCTTATTTCTGCCAGAACAGGATGAATCCTGTCAAGAAAATGTGCACTGAATCTGTTTGATCCTGCAAGTAAACTTTGTTCATACGGAAAAAGTTCATAAATTATTTTCTTAATCTTTCTTTTGAAAAGAAGGTGCAAACATTTCAAATGGATTTTAATTCAAGCAATATACTTTTTCATATCACTAGAGAAATATCGTCCGGTGAAAGAAATGTCAAGTTTTATTTGCTCCTTATCCTGAATATTCCTTCTCTTTGTTGCACAATCTTCATGTAAGCTTCGACTAGCTAGCTAAAATTATTTTTCGAAATGCGATTTTAGGTTTTGTTATTACAGACGTCGTGATCTGCACAGTCGCATCTTTTTTCCTCTTCTGACGAACAATGCGATAATTATCCTCACTGAACTTCCGATCACATTGATCTATTTGCATGATGGTTTTATTTCCTCCATCAATCTCTGTACAGGATGGATCGTGCTCAACTCGACGCTGTTCCTTCTGAGTAACACTCTCATGGGGTGGGCATCGTTCGAACGATATCTATTTATATACCATGAATTGTTTATCACTAGGCACTATGTTTTGCTGCATGCTGTTCCCATTGTATGTTTACTTTTCTATTGTCCATTATTCTATGTTGGAACTGTAGTCTTGTACAAATGCCAGATAGACTACGATGTGTATCGATATGTTTGTGGTGGAGCGTGCTATCAAAATGAATCTTTTCTCGGTCTGATCAATTGGACTGGCAATGTGCTGTGCGTAGTATTATTTACATTTACTATGAATCTCATCCTGATCGTTCGTCATATTACTCAACGACGTCGAATGAAAAATCTGGTCTTCATAGCAGGCAGAAATCAACAATGGGTAAGATTGTGTACCTTCCGAGAATAGAAGTTCTATATTTATTCTCTAGCGTCGTTCGATGAAGTTAATCATACAANAAAACAATACTGTAAATCTGATTGATTTTAATAGTTCTTCAAATATATTTTAATTTATCTACTCAGACATTGACTAGATTATCCGTTTATAACAATCAGGTTGGAGATGATGGTGCATATCATTTCGCTGATGCAATAAAATATAATACTGTAATATTAACTCTTTCATATGATTGTTCTTATCAATTCATTTAGACACTAGAAGAATTACATCTCAGTTGGAATAAAATCGGACGTGTTGGAGCAGAATATCTTGCCGAAGCCTTAATGAAGAACACGGTAAGTCTCAGTTTTTGTTTATGAACCGATATCTCCAACGGTAATTATAATTGCGCAGACACTCAAAGAACTCACTTTCAATGAAAACTCCATCGGTGATCGTGGGATACAACATTTTGCTAACGTCTACAGATGCAATACAGTAAAGAGATTCGTTCTTGTACAGTATGCTACACGTCGACATGTAGATGTTTTCCAGCCTGAATCTAAGTTGTTGTCAAATAGGAGAAGCTGGAGTGCAATATCTTGCTGATGCATTACAAAATAACATGGTAATTATCGCAATTCTTTCTTTTCTCGAATATTTTAAGCTTGTAGTTCATGGGACAGAGTGTTTAGCTAGCGTGTTAAAAACAACAAAAGTAACTGTTTGCTCGCTTGAATGTTTATCTGTACATTGCCTCTATCAGACACTTACTGTGTTAACTCTTAAGAAATGTGGTATCGAAGATGTTGGCACTCAATCCCTGGCCACTGCGTTGAAGAGTAATGCGGTAATTATCAATTTCTCGTCAACTTTCTCCTATCTTATCTCACACAGACTCTTAAATGTCTAAATCTCTCACGCAATGGCATCACAAATATTGGAGCGCAACATCTTGCTGATGCATTGCAACATAATGTGGTGAAAAGCTATTTCTGTCTTCCTCAATTGCACTGTTTGTATTTGGATATCTTTACATAGACACTTACTAAGCTAAACCTTGCATTCAATAATATTGGAGATCGCGGAGTACAAGATTTAGCTAATGGTCTAATGAATAACATGGTAAATGTATTTGTCGCATATTCTAAACCACATATTCTCTTACAGGCAATAACCGATTTAAATCTGAATTATAACACATTTAGTGACATCGGAACGCAGTATTTTGCAGATGTCATACGCACTTATACCGTAATTAACGCCTTCATTGTGAATATTGCATTTACAATTGTGTTTTGCATTAGAAACTTACTGATCTAGGTATCGGTGGTGATAATATTGCACCTGCGACAGGACAAATTCTATTGGATGCATTGAGAAACAACACGGTAGTTATCATCTTTCTTCTATATGTATCTCATTTCTTATGCACGCAGACATTAACTTCACTCGATTTCGACGATGAATCTGTCGGCTGGGACATTTCTCATATGATCGATGAGTATATTGAACGGAATTGCAAACTATCAAATGTGTATTGATAATTGGAACATTGTTCCGGCGAAGAACTAAAATCATGTATCCAATCTAAATGTATTTTTTGCACTGATTTACAAACAGACGAATAAAATCATTTTTATTCATTATCAAGATTGGCTAGATTCATTTTAGACAAATGGGCAGGGTCATTGTTTGTTAATAATGCCGAAACTGTAATAGCAATACAGTATGGTAAATAAGTACAAATATAAACTGTAGTTTGGACAAACACCATAATTGTTAACTATTTTTCCAATTCTCGACGAACAAGACGTACTATATGANTTCTCGGTCTGATCAATTGGACTGGCAATGTGCTGTGCGTAGTATTATTTACATTTACTATGAATCTCATCCTGATCGTTCGTCATATTACTCAACGACGTCGAATGAAAAATCTGGTCTTCATAGCAGGCAGAAATCAACAATGGGTAAGATTGTGTACCTTCCGAGAATAGAAGTTCTATATTTATTCTCTAGCGTCGTTCGATGAAGTTAATCATACAACTACTTTCCATTTCTTTCCTTTACATAATCAGCTGGATTCCATACTCTATAATTACACTCGTTCAAATCTTTGTTCATAATCAAGTCATGTCTGATCTTCTCTCCAGATATTTCACATTCATTCCGTACCTACAAATTCTACTATCACCTTATATGTGCTTGTTGTTCATGCCGAACGTTAAACAAAAATTATACAATGCACTATGCACGTTATGCGGACAGAAAACGACAAATCAAATGAATGTTATAGGCAATCAACGAATTGTTGTCAAAACATCGAAAAAAACAACACCGAAAGAAATAATAACGAAAAAATAATCTCGAAAAATTGATTTTACTGAATATAAGATTAGAAATTATAGTGGTTCGAAGAGTTCATATAGTTCTAACTTACTTCTACACTGGCAGCCACAGTCTAGCTTCCCAACACCCTCGACCTACCCCTCAAGATTTTATATTTTCGACATTATTGATTTCGGTCTTTTGCCAGAACACCATCACAAGGGGAGAGTAATTACGAATAAAATATAACTATTTGTTTTTGCTTCTGTATAATTTTTGATGAATATCACACGAAATTATTCAGGTAAAGAGAGTATCTATATAAACCAATACAGACTATGAATGAATATCGTATTTCAATGTCGCATAAGCCAGTTGTTTCTTTCCATAAATTACCTATCGAACTTGTTTATCGTATTCTTGACTTCCAAAGTATTCTCACTCTCTTATGTTCGATGCGAAATGTTTGCAAACGATTCAATCAAATTATCGATAGTTACGATCGATATCGACAAGTAAATTTCGTATCTTTCGATATTCAATAGCTCATCGCTGATTTTTGTTCATATAGGAGTGCGATATCTTATGGCTTGACGATTGTAAAATTGACGATGTCAAAGTACAAAACATAGCCAAGACGCTAAGCAATGATACAGTGAGCACCTGCGTATGTTATGTACTTTGTTGTAGATTTCCGTTAAGGTTATTATTAAATTGATCATTTACTGTAATGAGATCGGACATGTCGGTGCAAAACATCTGGCCGATGCGTTAAGAAGCAATACGGTAATTTGCGTGATTGGTTTAGTCTTCTTTTTTTTGTGGATTGTTGTATTCTCGTTTAGACCTGTACTTATTTGGATATCAGAAACAATCGGATTGGAGATCTCGGGGTCGAACATTTGGCTAGTGCATTAAAAATAAATACAGTCATTTATAGTATTGTCTATTTATCAATCTTTATCTGTAATTTTTTCACTTAGACACTCACTGGACTATACCTTAATGATAATAATATTGGTCATGTGGGAGCGAAACACTTAGCTGATATGTTAAAAAACAATACTGTAAATCTGATTGATTTTAATAGTTCTTCAAATATATTTTAATTTATCTACTCAGACATTGACTAGATTATCCGTTTATAACAATCAGATTGGAGATGATGGTGCATATCATTTCGCTGATGCAATAAAATATAATACTGTAATATTAACTCTTTCATATGATTGCTCTTATCAATTCATTTAGACACTAGAAGAATTAAATCTCAGTTGGAATGAAATCGGACGTGTTGGAGCAGAATATCTCGCCGAAGCCTTGATGAACAACACGGTAAATCTCAATTTTTGTTTATGAACTGATATCTCCAACAGCAATTATAATTGCGCAGACACTCAAAGAACTCACTTTCAATGAAAACTCAATCGGTGATCGTGGGATACAACATTTTGCTAACGTTTACAGATGCAATACAGTAAATAGATTCGTCCTTGTACAACATGCTACACGTCGACATGTAGATGTTTTCCAGTCTGGATCTAAGTTGTTGTGAAATAGGAGAAGCTGGAGTGCAATATCTTGCTGATGCATTACAAAATAACATGGTAATTATCGCAATTCTTTCTTTTCTTGAATATTTTAAGTTTGTATTTCATTGGACAGACGTTGACAGTAATTCATCTCGACCATAATTTGATTAAGGACGTTGGTGGACAGTGTTTAGCTAACGTGTTAAAAACAACAAAAGTAACTGTTTACTCGCTTGAATGCTTATCTGTAGATTGTCTCTATCAGACACTTACTGTGTTAACTCTTGAGAAATGTGGTATCGAAGATGTTGGCACTCAATACCTGGCCACTGCGTTGAAGAGTAATGCGGTAATTATCAATTTCTCGTCAACTTTCTCCTATCTTATCTCACACAGACTCTCAAATGTCTAAATCTCTCACGCAATGGCATCACAAATATTGGAGCGCAACATCTTGCTGATGCATTGCAACATAATGTGGTGAAAAGCTATTTCTGTCTTTCTCAATTGCACTGTTTGTATTTGGATATCTTTACATAGACACTTACTAAGCTAGACCTTGCATTCAATACTATTGGAGATCGCGGAGCACGATATTTAGCTAATGGTCTAATGAATAACATGGTAAATGTATTTGTCGCATATTCTAAATCACATATTCTCTTACAGGCAATAACCGATTTAAATCTGAATTATAACACATTCGGCGACACCGGAACGCAGCATTTTGCAGATGTCATACGCACGAATACCGTAATTATCGTCTTCAATGTGAATATTTCATTTACAATTGTGTTTTGCATTAGAAACTTACTGATCTAGGTATCGGCGGTGATAATATTGGACCTGCGACAGGACAAATTCTGTTGGATGCATTGAGAAGCAACACGGTAGTTATCATCTTTCTTCTATATGTATCTCATTTCTTATGCACGCAGACATTAACTTCACTCGATTTCGACAATGAATCTGTCGGCTGGGATATTTCTCATATAATCGATGAGTATATTGAACGGAATTGCAAACTATCAAAGGTGTATTGATAATTGGAACATTGTTCCGGCGAAGAACTAAAATGATGTATCCAATATAAATGTATCTTTTGCACTGATTTACAAACAGACGAATAAAATCGGTTCCACGACATTATCGCGCATGATATTTCGGCGCGTAATGTATAAACGACACTTCCGCGGCGCCCTCACCCTCAATTGCATATACTGTCGCAGTGAAATTCCTTAATTGAAAAAAGAAGAATATGAACATAAAATACTATCGATATGATAATAGAGGCTACACTTAAAACAGAATTGGACAAGATTAAAACTCGACATGATTAGAAAATAACATCCACGAGAATTGCTTTGAAATGTTTTTAGACTGAAAAGTATCACAAAACTAAAGAACTCACCATATGTCGATCGTATGAATAAAAGAAGAGACGTGAAATTTATTCTGTGCATGTAGACATCGTTGTGTTTAATTATCATTCGAAGATTGGATTTGTTTGATGCTTCATAAATTTCAAGAGGAAATTCTACGTTTATTTGTCATGACTAGTTGATAATTATAGACAGGAAAATTATATTCACTAACACGATGAGTAACTATGTGTCATATTACGCGATATTTCTTCAATATGTACAAAAGTGCATATTGAAGTACAAGCGCGCCACGTGCGTTTTGTCATGCATATCGAAACATTCGTATGTAAATGGAAGCTAGTACATATGAATATAGACGCACAATGAATCGATTTATTGACAACAGCTTCGATACTAAAAACCTGTCACCTATTTGTGGTTATTGGGCTGAAAAACTTGTTTCGTTGGAAGAAGCTCTGCAGCCATTTGTGACTTCCATTGACCAATTGGATCGCTCGATAAAAGCAGCGAAAAAATATTGTCATTTTCCATCCGAACATGGTTTGACTCAAGATGAATCGGCCGCGTTGTATTTGTATACGATGGAAGGAGGCGAGAATAGTTTCTATCGAATGTTGAATCAAGCGTTGAGATCAGAAGATCGACATGGATTAAAAATCTGGTTTCCGTACTTGAAATTATTCGATACGGCTCTGACCAAATTACCAACCGTGCAGAGAAATGTCTGGCGTGGAGTAATCGGNCATTTTCCATCCGAACATGGTTTGACTCAAGATGAATCGGCCGCGTTGTATTTGTATACGATGGAAGGAGGCGAGAATAGTTTCTATCGAATGTTGAATCAAGCGTTGAGATCAGAAGATCGACATGGATTAAAAATCTGGTTTCCGTACTTGAAATTATTCGATACGGCTCTGACCAAATTACCAACCGTGCAGAGAAATGTCTGGCGTGGAGTAATCGGGGATTTCCGTCAAGATTTGAAGAAAAATGAAGTGTTGACCTGGTGGAATGTCAGTTCATGTTCATCATCAGTTGATATTATCAAAGATTTCTTATCGAGTGAAACTAAATCAACTCTTTTCCTGATTGAAGCGATAAATGGCAAAGATATTTCTCTTTATACAAATTATGCTGATGAAGAAGAAATCTTGCTCGCTCCGGGTGTTCAGTTACGTATTGTCGCGCATGCAATGAATCTTCCGGGTGGATTAAATGTTGTTCATCTGGCAGAAATTAATGATGATGACCAGCATTCCACAATGCTGACAGCAGTATCTGAAAGAAGCGAATCAAGTGAGCATTTCATGAATATGTCAACAAGAAATTATAGTTTTGCTTTCAGGTCAAGTCGAGCAATCGAAAGGTGTCACATTAGTTTTGAAAAAAATGCGGTCTGGTAAGCTATCATAATTGGGCGATCTGCACATATCAGTAATTTCATCTTTAGCACCTCAACATTCACGTAAATCTACGCTTTTCTAACGTTCAGTAAACATGTGTTCATCATTGACATTGCCTAGCAAAGAAGTCTACTGTTGTGCGTATGAAATAGTCACACGAAACTCTGTGTGCGGTGGTCGTCGTCATGCCGATTGATATATTATATGACATGTAGCATTGTAACATATCCCGAAACGACGTCCTGACGATGACGAGATAGTTGAATGAAAATATTGTGTCATATGTGGTCGCTGTCGTCATATTTATTCATCAATGATGTCATGTCATGACGATGTAGAGTACAAGAGACGACTGTACCACTTTGCGTCAAATACTTGAATGGATATTTGATTGGAAGCTCGTGGACGGTGGAAAATGGCGACATTATTCAGATTGGAAGCGTGTTACTGACCCTGGCGCAACTTGTCATTATTCTCATATTCAGCATGCTCTTAATGTTCTCTCATGGGGTTGCAGATGTAACTTCTGAAAAAAATGCTTTGTAATTATTTTTTAGTGTTACANCATTTTCCATCCGAACATGGTTTGACTCAAGATGAGTCGGCCGCCTTGTATTTGTATACGATGGAAGGAGGCGAGAATAGTTTCTATCGAATGTTGAATCAAGCGTTGAGATCAGAAGATCGACATGGATTAAAAATCTGGTTTCCGTACTTGAAATTATTCGATACGGCTCTGACCAAATTACCAACCGTGCAGAGAAATGTCTGGCGTGGAGTAATCGGAGATTTCGGTCAAGATTTGAAGAAAAATGAAGTGTTGACCTGGTGGAATGTCAGCTCATGTTCATCATCAGTTGATATTATCAAAGATTTCTTATCGAGTGAAACTAAATCAACTCTTTTCCTGATTGAAGCAATAAATGGCAAGGATATTTCTCTTTATACAAATTATACTGATGAAGAAGAAATCTTGCTCGCTCCGGGTGTTCAGTTACGTGTTGTCGCACATGCAATGAACCTTCCAGGTGGATTAAATGTTGTTCATCTGGCAGAAATTAATGATGATGACCAGCATTCCACAATGCTGACAACAGTATCTGAAAGAAGCGAGTCAAGTGAGCATTTCATGAATATGCCAACAAGAAAGTATAGTTTTGCTTTCAGGTCAAGTCGAGCAATCGAAAGGTGTCACATTAGCTTTGAAAAAAATGCGTTCTGGTAAGCTATCATAACTGGGCGATCTGCACATATCAGTAGTTTCATCTTTAGCACCTCAACGTTCACGTAAATCTACGCTTTTCTAACGTTCAGTAAACATGTGTTCATCGTTGACATTGCCTAGCAAAGAAGTCTACTGTTGTGCGTATGAAATAGTCAGACGAAACTCTGTGTGCGGTGGTCGTCGTCATGCCGATTGATATATTATATGATATGTAGCATTGTAACATATCCCGAAACGACGTCCTGACGATGACGCGACAGTTGAATGAAAATATTGTGTCATATGTGGTCGCTGTCGTCATATTCATTCATCAATGATGTCGTGTCATGACGATGTAGAGTACAAGAGACGACTGTACCAGTTTGCGTCAAATACTTGAATGGATATTTGATTGGAAGCTCGTGGACGGTGGAAAATGGCGACATTATTCAGATTGGAAGCGCGTTACTGACCCTGGCGCAACTTGTCATTATTCTCATATTCAGCATGCTCTTAATGTTCTCTCATGGGGTTGCAGATGTAACTTCTGAAAAAAATGCTTTGTAATTATTTTTTAGTGTTACATATAAATCTCGACAAATTAGTATCGAATAATCTTCTTGTGATTTATTTCCTTAATGAATTTTATGCAATACATAGTTCGGTTACATCTTCTTTTTCAAATCTTTAATATCTTCTTGATACATTTTAAGAGAAGGATGGTTTTCAGGTAATGAATGTTGTCCAACGTCGAGTGCACGTTCATAAAATGATAATGCTTTGGAATAATTATTCATGTTTGTGTAAACTCGTCCCATATTGTGATAGGAAACAGCTAAACTAGGATGATTTTCCGGAAGACTTTTCTTCTGAATGTCCACTGCTTTTTCATGGGCAGAAATTGCTTTCGGATACTCACCAGTTGTGTTCAATGCCTTTCCTAGAAGGTTATATGAATTGGCCAAGTCAGGATGGTTGGCTGGTAGAGTTGCTTGAAGAATTTTAAACGCTTTAGCTTGGAATGAAAGTGCTTTCATGCATTGGCCGAGTTTCTCATGCACTGAACCAAGATTATTGAAAGTAATAGCCAGATTGGGATGATTCGATGGCAGGCTTTGTTCTTGAAGTTCACGCGCTCTTTCTTGAAATGAAAGAGCCTTCGAATACTCCTTCATACCCTCATAGACTGAACCGATGTTATTATAACTAGCAGCTATATCAGGATGATTTGGAAGAAGACCTTTTTGTTGAATTGTAAGTGCTCGTTCATGATATTCGAGTGCTTTGGGATACTCGCCCATCTTCTCACAAACAGAGCCAATATTGCTCCAAGAAGTAGCCAAACTAGGATGTTTTGATGGGAGACTTGTTTGTTGAACTAAAAGCGCTCGTTCTTGATATTCGAGTGCTTTGGAATATTCACCCATCTTTTCATAAACAGAACCAATATATCCGTAAGTAGTAGAAAAGGAACGGTCATTTGAAGAAAGATACTTTTCTTGAAGTTGTAGCGCTTTCGTATGAGAAGATAGAGCTTTCGAGTACGCTGCCATCTTTTCATATACGGAACCAATATGATTGTACGTCGTTGACAAATCCGGATGGCTCGGTGGGCAGGTTTCTTGGACAATGTGAAGTGCTTTTTCATGAAACGCAAGTGCATCGGAGTATGCTCCCATTTTTTTGTTCAGGATACCAAGTTCATTGTAAAATAGAGCTTGATCGGAATGATTGGGCTTGCGAGTTTTTTCTACAACCTGAATTCCTTTTTCACAGAATTTGACTGCTTGTGCATACTCGGCTTGCTGGTCTTTGATGCGAGAAAGCTGCCGATAAATACTTGCTGGTTCACAACTATTATCAAGTAGTGATTCGTATATATCTTGTGCTGTATCGAGCCCGTTCATTTTAATCAATAGTTCACCCAATCGATACCAGGGATCTTTGTCGGGGAACGTTTCCTGCCTTACCGATTCTGCTAATTGACGGAGATCAGGATCAGCGGCATCTGTAAGTGACAGATTCACTTCCCATAAACGTCCTCCAATCTTACTGGTTTGCTTGCAGCCTTGGATTCGAAATGTAGCATTTGTCGAGAACAGAATTTCTTCCTCATCCGGGAAGCCCACGCTTATAATGTCAGCGAATGGGGTTATAGATACTAAGGGATCAATACGCATTATAAATAGAACAGCGACCATATTTGGATTCATTGAGGCATGTTCAGCAAATTGAAGAGACATTTTTCTATTCGGTTGAGTGGATAAAAAGTTGTTAAACGACATCAAGCCATCTCTTGCTTTCAACAAACGATCAAAGTCCGTTTCAGACAAGCCTTGACCTCGATAAACCATAAATTCTTGTGAAAATCGCTGTTCACTGCATTGCTCCGAATGAAGTTTAGCAATATTTCTATGAAGATCGCATATGAAGAAACCTGATTTGACAATGATGTCGATATCCATGGTTCGTAACGCACGGTTAATTACCAGGTAAAGAAAACTATCTTTAGTATACCACCAGATAGGCGTCCTCTGATAGTAATCATGTTCTAATTCGTCAATGTTTTTCATCTCATGTATGTTGTCCGCGTACAGCTGACGCGCTAAATTGGTAAATTTCGTGAGATGACTCGTTTGAAAATTGATTTGTAAAAGAATTTCTTTTAACACCATAGTGTACATGAAAGATGGATCGAGTTGNCAGATTGGGATGATTTGATGGAAGGCTTTGTTCTTGAAGTTCACGCGCTCTTTCTTGAAATGAAAGAGCCTTCGAATACTCCTTCATACCCTCATAGACTGAACCGATGTTATTATAACTAGCAGCTATATCAGGATGATTTGGAAGAAGACCTTTTTGTTGAATTGTAAGTGCTCGTTCATGATATTCGAGTGCTTTGGGATACTCGCCCATCTTCTCACGAACAGAGCCAATATTGCTCCAAGAAGTAGCCAAACTAGGATGCTTTGGTGGGAGACTTTTTTGTTGAATTGAAAGCGCTCGTTCTTGATATTCGAGTGCTTTAGAATATTCACCCATCTGTTCATAAACAGAACCAATATATCCGTAAGTAGTAGAAAAGGAACAGTCATTTGAAGAAAGATACTTTTCTTGAAGTTGTAGCGCTTTCGTATGAGAAGAGAGAGCTTTCGAGTACGCTGCCATCTTTTCATATACGGAACCAATATGATTGTACGTCGTTGGTAGATCCGGATGGTTCGGTGGACAAGTTTCCTGTGCGATGCGAAGTGCTTTTTCATGAAACGCAAGTGCATCGGAGTATACTCCTATTTTTTTGTTCAGGATACCAAGTTCATTGTAAAATAGAGCTTGATCGGAATGATTGGGCTTGCGAGTTTTTTCTACAGCTTGAATTCCTTTTTCACAGAATCTAACTGCCTGTGCATAGTCGGCTTGCTGATCTTTGATGCGAGAAAGCTGCCGATAAATACTTGCTGGTTCACAACTATTATCAAGTAGTGATTCGTATACATCTTCTGCTGTGTCGAGGCCGTTCATTTTAATCAATAGTTCACCCAATCGATACCAGGGATCTTTATCCGGGAACGTCTCCTGTCTTACCGATTCTGCTAGTTGGCGGAGATCAGAATCAGCGGCATCTGTAAGTGACAGATTCACTTCCCATAAACGTCCTCCAATCTTACTGGTTTGCTTGCATTCTTGGATTCGAAATGTAGCATTTGTCGAGAACAGAATTTCTTTCTCCTCTTGGAAATTGTTCACGCTGCTAGCGTCAGCGAATGGGGTTGTTGATACTAAGGGATCAATACGCATTATAAATAGAACAGCGACCATATTTGGATTCATTGAGGCATGTTCAGCAAATTGAAGAGATACGTTTCTATGCGGTTGAGTGGATAAAAAGTTGTTAAACGACATCAAGCCATCTCTTGCTTTCAACAAACGATCAAAGTCCGTTTCAGACAAGCCTTGACCTCGATAAACCATAAATTCTTGTGAAAAACGCTGTTCACTGCATTGCTCCGAATGAAGTTTAGCAATATTTCTATGAAGATCGCATATGAAGAAACCTGATTTGACAATGATGTCGACATCCATGGTTCGTAACGCACGGTTAATTACCAGGTAAAGAAAACTTTCTTTAGTATACCACCAGATAGGCGTCCTCTGATAGTAATGACGTTCTAATTCGTCAATGATTTTCATCTCATGTGTGTTGTCCGCGTACAGCTGACGCGCTAAATTGGTAAATTTCGTGAGATGACTCGTTTGAAAATTGATTTGTAAAAGAATTTCTTTTAACACCATAGTGTACATGAAAGATGGATCGAGTTGATCAAGGCTTTCAATCTTCATCCCGCTACTTGATGGTGGCGAATCTTTTAGAACCGTTGTGTTTAGCAGTTGGGAATCTGTGTTAATAGTCGAAGTACGAGAGCTTTGTTCATGAATTTCATTTTTCATTGCTGCACAAATCGGTTTGATTTCCGTGAAAACTCCTCCAATTTTCGACCATTTCTGCGTCCACTGTTCGTGTCGAGATTTATTCCCGCAATATATGTAAATAGCAACAATTTGCGGTTTATCATGAATAAGAGGTACTGTTGTTTGTCCCAATGCACCAGAAATAATGAGAAAAGTTTTTCCTTCATCGATCGTATCAATAAATTTAATGCATTTATTTTCATCAGTGAACGTATGCAGAGTATTAATAACTTCTTTCAATTTTGAAATCACTTTGATTGAGTTTTTGTCTTTCATCTCGTCAATGGTGGCATCAAGCCAGATCAATAACAACTCCTGCGCTCGACGATTTGTGTACCGTGTTCGCGAACTTGCTGTTGCGTTTTTTTCTTCGCTCATGTTCGATGTTAGTGAGAAAGTAATGAAGGGGTGAAACAAATGTTAAATTGAAGATATATTTGCTAATGCCGTTTACTTTTCTTTCGTTCTGCACGCAGCGACAAGCAAAATGTGCTTACAACGACAGAAATCGATTGTAAAAATTTTAACACGCGACGTTATGTCAACAAACTGTCTTTAACTGTGAAAGAAAGAAATTATACATACTTCCACTTTTTCAGCGAATTTTACGAGTATGGTCCCCTTGATTTCATGAGAAAGAGACAATATCATACGCAGGGTGACTTTTTTATTTCCTCGCGCTACTAGTGAATGGCTGAAATCCCGATTGAACGAATAAAGATTGTTTGGTTCTGGAAATCCAATGCAGACCCGTTTGACAAAAGTCAGATTGCCAAATGGGAACGTTATTCTGACTTAGAAATCGACTGGATCGAGGAAAACTACCAGAACAAGGAAAAATATGTTGACTTGGGCGATTATAGAGTGGACTTGAAAAAGATGGTTCAATATCGAAAAAGTGATCCGAATCGACAAAGACCTGTAAAGCGAGAAGGTATAGATAGTAGACAGTACATACGACGAGATCGGTGTTGTATTGCCGAAAAACCAATATTATTATCCAAATCATTTGGACAACCGGGTGATTTCTATGAAAATGCCAAGTTTATTGATGACTGGAAAAACAAACACGAAGATTTATGCAGTTCTCGAGACTATTCAAAAATAATTGAACAAGCAGCTCAAGGTAAAAGCAGATTGGTTCGCTCTGAAGATATGCATCCTGTCTTCTAGGTATTATTCACGAGGGGTGTTTATTGAAAAAAGAATTTGATGGTCAACGAATTGCTGCTAAGTTGCGTAAAGTAAAACATGAGAATTTGAAACAAATCCATGATGTGTGTGTACACGTCTATTCGATGAATACATTTCTCTACGGTTTACTCATTGAAGCGATGAGAAATGAAGATATGAGTAAAGTCAATACATTAGGACCATTCAGTTATCTTTTAACGTTGAATCTCTACGATGATGATAAAGAAGATTCAATTGTTTATCGTGGATGCTATTTATCGGATGATATGATCAATGACTACAAAAATTCCGTCGGAAAGCAAATTATATGGTCTTCGTTCACTTCATTATCACGGTCAGAAGAGGAAGCAGAAAAGTTTGTGAAGAATGCCATGTTTATCGTCCGCATTACGGGCCATGTCTACTGTTCAAAATATATCGCGTCTTTGTCTCGGTATCCGGATGAACAAGAAGTATTATTGAGACCTGTACATCCCATGTGGGTTGTGAAATATGAATACGATAATGCGAAAAAAAGACATGCCATTTATTTGAATGATGATCCTGATTACTGGCAAAAACAACCAAGCAAGTCAACATCATAAAAATGAACGATTGATACTATATGCTTGTTTTTCGATTCATGAATAAAAGGAAGAACGTTTACATTATAGATTGTCGAGTATTTTTGTGTGATTCGAATAATGTCTTGATTGCGTTTAAAATCACGAGAAAAAGCCTCTTGTTTTGCCAAAGAAATACTTATTACTGAAAAGAAAACTTTTTTCCCTGAAAGCCTACCAACAGAGAGAAGTGATCGAAGCACATGTGCTTCAACAAACAAAAATAATCTTCCATATGAAAGTAGACTCGTAAGTATAATATGGTTGTTGGAAAAAAATCAAACTTCCTAATATGTCGATACGCCTACTGGGCGATCAAAACATGCTATTTTATACTTCTATGGCAGCAGTTGATTCATGGCAGAATGGCAAGAGGCTACTAGTTGCTACTCAAACAAACATTCATCTGCACGAATTGTTTATGGCAAGTTGGTAAAAAAGTTCTTCCGTGAAGAAAATCAGCTTTCCATATAAGTAATAGAAAAGAATTCACTTCTCCACTGTCATTTTCTTCATTCCTACAACGAAAGTGACTATACGCCACATTGAAATGATCACTACGAACCTTGCTATAAACATCGATTAATCGATTGCTGTATATCATTCTTTTGTATCTAATAAAGCGCTCATAAACTATAATATGCTCGGATAAGACTCGAAAAAATTGATTGTCTTTCTCCGTCTTAGATTTCAACCAGTGTCATGGCGCAAGTAATTCAGATCGGTGAAGAGCTTCCAGCGGAGACCATTACAGCAGAAAAATCTGTCGTCAATCCGGTTCTCCTACAAGTAAGTCAGAGATATGCCAATATAGAAGCCGAATGTGAATGAAAAAGAACTCATTACTAGATGATTTCCTTACATATTGTATGTTTAGGTCTCGAGCCTTGTTGATATGAATAAGAGAATTGATGCTGCAGGTAAGATATAAAAAATAGTGTGTTTTTCAGTTCTTCATAGATGTCGCTCACGATATATTTCTTAAACAATGAAGCTCAGTTTCATTACTCAGGCACCATAAAATAAAAATGGTATTTTTTATTCACAAGGCACTCTAATTATCTTACTATTTGCTTGATAAAATTGGTAAAAAAAACTTTGGTTTCAGCTACCATATACCACTCACTCTTCTACACTATGTACAACTATCAGAAACCAGAATAGTATTTATTCTCATTTAGAACCGGTGCAAATCGTCATTCCAGATAGTACACCGACGTGTACTCAACCAAAAGCGGAGAGTCTTCGCGGTGGCGGTGATAGTGCTATCATACCTATTGTTGTTTGTTTTCTACTTTTATGCATTATTGGTCTCCTGATTGGTACTATTGTCGGTTTTACGACTGGAAAATCAGCTGTTGGTATCGGTTGCCTTGTAGTGTTGATTCTCTGCTGTTGTGGGGGAGGTGGTGGTGGTGGTGCCGCAGCTTCTAGCGGTTAATGAATCCGGAAAAGAACATACACTTTCCTATTTGTCATATGTTTAATTTTATTTTTACTAACATTTACTTGTTAATCTGGAGTTTTTGTAAGTTTTATGATGAGTTATAATCAGCAGAGTACGCTGAGTTCATGCGCACATCCATCCTCAGACAATTTCGTTTTCTGATTAGTCTCCATTTAAAATGCTTATCCTCATACACTTTTAAATGAGTTTGGACTGATCGAGCATAGATCATGTGTTTTTGGTCTGTCCTCATCAGAAAAAATATCCGCCTGTACAGATAGGATAAGTACAATTGCCTCTACAGACATCAATTAAACAAAAGTGACTTATCCATACTTCTAGATCTCTTGGTTGTGACCTGTGTCTAGTAGAAGGATACAAACCAATTGATCTAACCATTGTTATTATTATTATTTACCTTTCCTTGGTTAACTACTGCTTTTGATTATTAATATTTTTAACGAAGAAAAGAAAACTACATCGAAAATGATCTATTGACACAAAAAAACGTTTTTGATTTCATTTCGAAATGTTTTGGAAATGAATAGATTTATATAAAAACCCGTGCAAAATGGAATATATGCAGCAATGGCACATGTATATTGAATAAACGTGTTTATTTGAGTTTGTTCATATGTTTTAACACTATGTTGAATAATTTGTAAATAAAGTGTAATGATTGAAAGTGGAAAACTCAATACAAAATACAGCACAACATCTGTCAGAAGAATTCGGATAAGTTGACGATCTTTCGAATGTGTATGTTGTACCGGAATGTGTTGAACTATTCCAATATTTGTTGAAAAAGCAGGAACTCGTTTGAGACTTATTTGGCGAACATTTTTCACTGCAGCAACTCCTAAACTTCCTAAAACTAATGGAATCAACAAAGCTCTTATTGTTGAATAATAACTCAAATTTGTTGAATATGTTCCACTTAGAAAATAACAAATAGAATAATTCGGTGTAACTTGTATGATATTCACATAAACTAACACATGAACATGACATATAAACCAAAATAATGTCACACTAATAATACAAACACAAGCGAGACGACTTGTACTTCGTTGTCTTGTCGTTGCATTTGCTGATGTTAGTAATATTCGATCAATCGATGCGAATATTAAATAACATGGACATAGAACACTTAAAACAACTGCCATATATAAACNGAAGTACGAGAGCTTTGTTCATGAATTTCATTTTTCATTGCTGCACAAATCGGTTTGATTTCCGTGAAAACTCCTCCAATTTTCGACCATTTCTGCGTCCACTGTTCGTGTCGAGATTTATTCCCGCAATATATGTAAATAGCAACAATTTGCGGTTTATCATGAATAAGAGGTACTGTTGTTTGTCCCAATGCACCAGAAATAATGAGAAAAGTTTTTCCCTCATCGATCGTATCAATAAATTTAATGCATTTATTTTCATCAGTGAACGTATGCAGAGTATTAATAACTTCTTTCAATTTTGAAATCACTTTGATTGAGTTCTTGTCTTTCGCCTCGTCAATGGTGGCATCAAGCCAGATCAATAAGAACTCCTGCGCTCGACGATTCGTGTGCCGTGTTCGTGAGCTTGCTGTTGCGATTTTTTCTTCACTCATGTTCGATGTTAGTGAGAAAGCAATGAAGGGGTGGAACAAATGTTAAATTGAAGATATATTTGCTAATGCCGTTTACTTTTCTTTCGTTCTGTACGCAGCGACAAACAAAATGTGCTTACAACGACAGAAATCGACTGCAAAAATTTTAACATGCGATGTAATGTCAACAAATAGTCTTTAACTGTGAAAGAAAGAAATTATACACACTTTCCACCTTTTCAGCGAACTTTACGAGTATGGTCCCCTTGTTTTCATGAGAAAAAGACAATATCATACGCAGGGTGTCTTTTTTATTTCCGCGCGCTACTAGTAAATGGCTGAAATTCCGACTGAACGAATAAAGATTGCTTGGTTCTGGAAATCCAATGCAGACCCTTTTGACGAAAGTCAGATTGCCAAATGGGAACGTTATTCCGACTTAGAAATCGACTGGATCGAGGAAAACTACCAGAACAAGGAAAAATATGTTGACTTGGGTGATTATAGAGTGGACTTGAAAAAGATGGTTCAATATCGAAAAAGTGATCCGAATCGACAAAGACCTATAAAGCGAGAAGGTATAGATAGTAGACAGTACATACGACGAGATCGGTGTTGTATTGCCGAAAAACCAATATTATTATCCAAATCATTTGGACAACCGGGTGATTTCTATGAAAATGCCAAGTTTATTGATGACTGGAAAAATAAGCATGAAGATTTGTGTAGCTCTCGTGACTATTCAAAAATAATTGAACAAGCAGCTCAAGGTAAAAGTAGATTGGTTCGCTCTCAAGATGCGCATCTTGTTTTCTAGGTATTATTCATGAGGGGTGTTTATTGGAAAAAGAATTTGAAGGTCAACGAATTGCCGCTAAGTTGCGTAAAGTAAAACATGAGAATTTGAAACAAATCCATGATGTGTGTGTACACGTCTATTCGATGAATACATTTCTGTACGGTTTACTCATTGAAGCGATGAGAAATGAAGATATGAGTAAAGTCGATACATTAGGACCATTCAGTTATCTTTTAACATTGAATCTCTACGATGATGATAAAGAAGATTCAATTGTTTATCGTGGATGCTATTTATCGGATGATATGATCAATGACTACAAAAATTCCGTCGGAAAGCAAATTATATGGTCTTCGTTTACTTCATTATCACGGTCAGAAGAGGAAGCAGAAAAGTTTGTGAAGAATGCCATGTTTATCGTCCGCATTACGGGCCATGTCTACTGTTCAAAATATATCGCGTCTTTGTCTCGGTATCCGGATGAACAAGAAGTATTATTGAGACCTGTACATCCCATGTGGGTTGTGAAATATGAATACAATAATGCGAAAAAAAGACATGTCATTTATTTGAATGATGATCCTGATTACTGGCAAAAACAATCAAGCAAGTCATCATCATAAAAATGAACGATTGAGACTAAATGTTTGTTTTTCGATTCATGAATAAAAGGAAGAACGTTCACATTATAGATTATCGAGTATTGCGAGCATTTTTGTGTGATTCGAACAGTGTTTTGATTGCGTTTACAAATCAAAATAATCTTCCATATGAAAGTAGACTCATAAGTATAATATGGTTGTTGGAAAAAATAAAGCTTCCTAAATGTCGATACGCCTACTGGGTGATCAAAACACGTTATTTTATACTTCTATGGCAGCAGTTGATTCATGGCAGAATGGCAAAAGGCTACTAGTTGCTACTCAAACGAACATTCATCTACACGAATTGTTTTGATTAAGAATTGCATGAGTAATATGCTATGGCTAAGTGCGTCTATTTGAATGTGCCCCGCGTACTTCGACCGAAGAAGTGAACGTTGCTACAGTAATTATAAACAGTGTAATGACGCATCTCAATGATATTGTAAATAATGAGAACGAAAGTTTTCAAGTTGTTTATGGCAAGTTGGTAAAAAAGTTCTTCCGTGCAGAAAGTCAGCTTTCCATATTAGTAATAGAAAAGAATTCACTTCTCCACTGTCATTTTCTTCATTCCTACAACGAAAGTAACTATACGCCACATTGAAATGATCACTATGAATTTTGCTATAAACATCAATTAATCGATTGCTGTATATCCTTTCTTTTGTATCTAATAAAGCGCTCATAAACTATAATATGCTCAGATAAGATTCGAAAAAATTGATCGTCTTTGTCCGTCTTAGATTTCAACCAGTATCATGGCGCAAGTAATTCAGATCGGTGAAGAGCTTCCAGTGGAGACCATTGTAGCAGAAAAATCTGTCGCCAATCCGGTTCTCCTACAAGTAAGTCAGAGATATGCCAATATAGAAGCCGAATGTGAATGAAAAAAAACTCATTACTAGATGATTTCCTTACATATTGTATGTTTAGGTTACGAGCCTTGTTGATATGAATAAGAGAATTGATGCTGCAGGTAAGATATAAAAAATAGTGTGTTTTTCAGTTCTTCATAGATGTCGCTCACGACATATTTCTTAAACAAAGAAGCTCTTTTTCATTATTCAGGCACCATAAAATAAAAACGATATTTTTATTCACAAGACACTCTAATTATCTTACTATTTGCCTGATAACATTGGTAAAAAAGCTTTGATTTCTGCTGCTATATACTGCTCACTCTTCTACACTATGTACAACTATCAGAAACCAGAGTAGTATTTATTCTCATTTAGAACCGGTGCAAATCGTCATTCCAGATAATACACCGACGTGTACTCAACCAAAAGCGGAGAGTCTTCGCGGTGGCGGTGGTAGTGCTATCATAGCTATTGTTGCTTGTTTTCTACTTTTATGCATTATGGGTCTCCTGATTGGTACTATTGTCGGTTTTACGAGTGGAAACGCAGCTGCTGGTATCGGTTGCCTTGTAGTGTTGATTCTCTGCTGTTGCGGGGGAGGTGGTGGTGGTGGTGCCGCAGCTTCTAGCGGTTAATGAATCCGACAAAATACATACACTTCCCTCTTTGTCATATGTCTAACTTTATTTTTTACTAACATTTACTTGTTAATCTGGAGTTTTTATTAGAAACTATAATCAGTAGAGTACGCGGAGTTCATGCGCACATCCATCCTCAGACAAATTCGTTTTCTCATTAGTTTTCATCTAAAATGCTTATCCTCATACACTTCTAAATGAGTTTGCACTGATCGAGCATAGATCATGTGTTTTTGGTCTGTCCTCATCAGAAAAAATATCCGCCTATACAGATAGGATAAGTACAATTTCCTCTACAGACATCAATTAAACAAAAGTGACTTATCCATACTTCTAGATCTCTTGGTTGTGACCTGTGTCTAGTAGAAGGATACACACCGATTGATCTAACCATTGTTATTATTATTATTTACCTTTCCTTGGTTAGCTACTGCTTTTGATTATTAATATTTTTAACGAAGAAAAGAAAACTACATCGAAAATGATCTATTGACACAAAAAAACGTTTTTGATTTCATTTCGAAATGTTTTGGAAATGAATAGATTTATATAAAAACCCGTGCAAAATGGAATATATGCAGCAATTGCACACGTATATTGAATAAACGTGTTTATTTGAGTTTGTTCATATGTTTTAACATTATGTTGAATAATTTGTAAATAAAGTGTAATGATTGAAAGTGGAAAACTCAATACAAAATAAAGCACAACATCTGTCAGAAGAATTCGAATAAGTTGACGATCTTTCGAATGTGTATGTTGTACAGGAGTGTGTTGACCTATTCCAATATTTGTTGAAAAAGCAGGAACTCGTTTGAGACTTATTTGACGAACATTTTTCACTGCAGCAACTCCTAAACTTCCTAAAATTAATGGAATCAACAAAGCTCTTATTGTTGAATAATAACTCAGATTTGTTGAATATGTTCCACTTGGAAAATAACAAATAGAATAATTCGGTGTAACTTGTATGATATTCACATAAACTAACACATGAACATGACATATAAACCAAAATAATGTCACACTAATAATACAAACACAAGCAAGACGACTTGTACTTCGTTGTCTTGTCGTTGCATTTGCTGATGTTAGTAATATTCGATCAATCGATGCGAATATTAAATAACATGGACATAGAACACTTAAAACAACTGCCATATATAAACTCAATCGACAAATATGAATACTATAAAGAGCAATTGGAATTAAATAACCATTTGTTAAGAGTGATGCTAAAACGATTGTGTTGAGATAAATGAAACTACCGATATGAAATGCGATCATGTACAATGAACAAGGATTTTTACGAAGAGTTTTTCTACTAAAAACTATTAAACTTAGCACACAACTGATATTACCGAGAATGAATAAACCCAAGACACCATATTGGAAAAGATATTTTAAGGTTAATTCAAGAGAAGCAACGAATGTATTGCTGCTTGATTGCTGAGACGACATAATTCAAGCAAAAATTTGGAATAGTGTCAAATAGTTTATACTTGTTCTTCACTCCTCTATTTTTTCGACAGAAAAGTGCTTTTTCTAGACATAATACAAATGACATAGATTTCACTGTTTAATCTTAAAAAGAATTTGTCTATTTACGTCAGATTTGTATGTTAATTAACATTAATGTGACGCTGACACCACAAAACAAAACATCATATAAAACGCAATGCTCAAATGAGTTCCTTCGATACAGAACTTGATTCAGCATCGAATGGTGGTGTCTATATCGAAGGGACAACGATTGGGAATATTTCATCCGGTTTTTTTCCTTCTATACAAAAATGTACAGGAAGATTTATGTAAAAATTTTTCCAATCGATTTTCCATCAATAAAATATGATCATTCAATGTCGAATCAAATTCTATATCGAATGAACTCATTTGATCATTACGGTTTGTATGATGTTTTGTTTCGTGGTGCTAGCCCCATGCTGATGTTAATTAACGTTCCTGCCGCGGCATTTCAAGCTGATTTCAATTACTGTAAAAGGTATTAACAGCTTATCAAATAAAGTAACTGACATTGAATTAGTTCAAAATTAGTTTTAGACTCCAATTTGTCTAATTATTATTTCGCCGATAAATTTCATGTCTTGGTTTAAAAGTAGAAAAGGGTAGATAAACAATTTGAAATCAATGATAGTTTGCATACATTCCAAATGCGACGAAAACAACGAATAGTCTGTTAATCGAGCGTTAGTCTATCCTACATAAACTACAAATCTTGTCATCGGTATAAAGACATTTTACTTGCTGACACCAACTAATACATCGTAGTAATTGAAATTGTGAAACTAAAAAGGAAAAGAACAAATAGCACGAATGCTATATAGACATTATTGACTAATAAAATAACAGAAAACACAGTATCAGTAACATAAATATCTCGGATGAGCAGTTCCCCATCGGATCCGATGAGTTGAATTTGGCTCGGGTAGTATAATGAAATAAGGAATAAAGGATAGGAAGAACAAGACAAGTGTTAACAAGTGCATTATTTGTTGTTGTTTAAATCATTCATTTTATGCCGATACGAGCAAAGAAATGAACACTCACATGAATTACAATATTCTCCTCTAGTATTGAAAGCACAGAGCTATGAAGTCATTGCGTGCACTGATTGTGAGTATACTTACATCAAAGGAAACGAGAATAGTAATAATCTGTAACTAATTATCTTGTCTCTTCATGAATTTTCATTCTAATTTCACAGCTGGCGTTATCTTCACGACAAGGATACGATTATTTAGCACTCAATTCGATGGGCTATAGTAAGACGTACTCACCTTTTCAGAAAGATGAAATAAATCGCTGAACATCTTATTGACTTATTTGATCATTAGGCATGATAGGAGTAATTATCCAGCAAATCCTTTTTTATATTACTCTCACTCACTTTCAAAGAGACAGCTATGAATCGTTTTACAATCGTCGTCTCTTACAAAGTCGAAAAAACGACTCCTTAAAAGCTATCCGATACGAATTCGAAGGAAGGACAAATACAACAAAAATCATTAGCGAGGGTGTGAATGAAACAAAATAGCCACAAACGTATAACCATAGATGACCGGACACATCTGTGCATCCAGATAGCAAAGCTATGATCAGACGTGGTGCAGATAAAAGAAGTAGACCGACAGGACTAACGATAAGTTGTTTGTGCTCATTCCATTGGTCACGGAGATGTTGTCTATAAGTATGTCGTCTTTGAGCCTTTGCTCGCCGTCGAGCACTTCCAATGATGATAAATAATGCAGAGAACAGATTAGCAAGAAATGGACCAAGCAGATGAATGAATAGAATAGCTGTGTTATAGTCTTGAACCGACTGAGGATATGAAGTTAGACACCAAGTGTAGATGTCTTTGACAATTTCCTTTGGACGGGTTGTTCCATCGAATAGGCTTCGTTCCTTTATTTCATGCTTGAATACATGACGGTAGAAAGGTTCATGAATAATCGTGCCCACAATCACAATCGGTAAGATGAAGATGATCCATCGAGCAAAGCGCTTACTCTTCTCTTTGTCAAAATTCACTCCTTTGTACACATTCACCCCGCGTTCAACTGCTACGCATGCATTCAGCCAGGTATCCCAGTAGAAAAGCAGTTTCAGAATGGGCTCAATCGACTTACAACCACCATCAAGAATAGATGGACGAATAAACATGCCCATTTGTGTGATAACAACAAACCAAAACTTGATTGTGAATATGGTGATCGTCAGAAGAGAAGTAACAGATGATGCGAGAAGATAAAGACCACATCCCACTTGTCGTAAACTTGCATTTTGAAAAGTCAAAATGGAACAAGCACTGCTGATGAGACCGACGACGAACATAATGACCGAGAGAGCAGCAGTGACTTTGATGAGAAGTGGTTGATGTTGTATTGTCATGTTTCGGTTGACTTCGAAACGTAGGATATCGTCGAGAGTGAGACCGATACTTTTGACTTGAGTGTTGCATGGGCCGCCAACATAACAATAAGTGGAATTATCAACTAAACAAATTTTTGAATGAAAAATCTGATAGAGATAATTTTTATCGTATTGCACGACATTTGAGAAACATGTAAGATACAAATAGTGTTTTTCTCTGTACAATTGTATGTATACTTGAGATTCCATACTTACTAATTCGTTGAAGCGTAAAATTTGTTGGACCATACGCGTCGATAGAGAACGGTGTCGTCAACAATGGGATCGAAGTTGTCATAAGTAATATATATGAAATGTCAGACCGAAGATGAAACATGTATTCTCCGTCATATTCCCAAGCACAACTGTATTTATCCTTTAGAATTAGATTTTTATCTTTATTCAGTGGATCAAAGTGATTTCCGTACATATATATATTTAAATAAGAATCTCTGCCAGTTGAAATAGTATAATATGCATCGGTGAATACAGTTAATCGCACAGTTTCATAGTAATAATATGTACGAATACAATCTTTGTCATATTTTTGATTATCCTTTGTAAGTTGCGATGAATAATGCGAATGGGCAGCTAAAGAAGCATCTATTTTAAAAACATCTTTACTTTTTTTGCATGTTCATTATATTTTTTCTACTCACTTATACGTCGGAAACTAACACTGTTTTGGCCGAACACTCTAATCGAGAATGTCCTTGTTGTATTTGGAAAACATGTTGACGCTACCAATATGTACCGCATGTTAGTTAGAAGTTCTATGGTGATCTCTGACGAATCATAAAGATTGCAACCATTCTTTTGAATAAGCAAATTTCCAAACGGGATACGCGTATAAAAATTCTTTTCATAGATAGAGATAAACATGCCTGTATCTATACTCGCGCTGCTCAGAAAGGTATAAGAACCACTACTATGCACAATGATTTGCATTGCTTCATAATAGTGTTTCGGTGTTTGATCACAAGGATTAGGATAATATTTGTCGTCATCTTCCGTCAGTGCAGATGAGTAAGTTGATTCAATCGATCGTTCGATATCTATTCAAGACAAAAGGTATCCTCATCGTACTTATACCGCGTTTATGTACATAACGATATATATTTCTGTTCGAAAGCTTCTATAGCTCGACTTATTACGACAATCTACTCTTTGAGTAGAGTTTTGATAACAACGTTAATCAAATGATCAAGCAATGTCGCCTATCAGTTAAATTGATACTCACTTTTACGCTTCAGACGAACTCCACTTGAGCCGAGCACCGTGAGTGAGAATGGGCCTGTTACATTTGGATTGTATGTTGTTACAATCAAGATGTATTTCGTATTGATAAAAAGTTCAACAGTGAATCTGAACTGATCTTTGTTGCAACATTTGCCGTACCATGCAATCAGATTGTAAGCGGGATTGACTAGATCAAAATAATGTTTGTATAGATGGCCGTAGAGATCGATGCTACTGTTTGCCCCAAGCGTGTACGTGTCAGTTTTATTCACAATTACTTCGATAGCTTCATAGTGATAAGTTGTGTAATGTGGTGTAGTAGTGCGTGAATACATTGGATGATTTTCCGTTAAGACGGATGAATAAATTGTTTCAATACTTGATGTGACACTTTCTAAATGGAGAAGCAAGTATCATTGAATAATAAATATCAGCCGTTCTTAAAGCGATTGCAATGTGATAAAGGAAACAAAAAAATCTAATAAAAATAGTACTGCTATTGGAACAGTTCATACTTACTACAAGAGTGTTTCTGCAAATCGAACTTTTGGATTCTATTATTATTCTTATCACAAACAAACATGTTTCCATGAACATCAAAATGGAATTTGTATGGCATTAGTAATTGATGAGATTCCGTACCGCCTCCGGCACATCCAACTAAACATCGGAAACCATTTGGTCCCGATGCAACAATGCGATCATTAACGCTATCGGAAATAAAGAGATATTTGTCAGCGTCTAATATAACTGAGTGTGGATAAATAAGTGCAATTGTCATATCTAGCGAATCTCGTCCAGCTACTATTTTTCCATTTTTGTCATCCGATGGAAATAATTGAATTCTATCATTGGAACAATCTGCCACATATACATCCAAATTTATATCGACAAAGATTCCTTGCGGATCATTCAATTCGCCTATATTGGACCCTTTGTAGCCTGTCCCAGCCACAACTACCATCTTCGTCCAACTATCTAACCACCTTTTCGCAACTGTATTCTTACTAGATGATGAGCAATATAGGTAATTAAAAATATCAATAAACAGGCTAGTACATTCTGTTCCAAAACCTACAATCTCAACGAATGTATTTGTACTCGGGATCCGTTTCATGATTGCATCATTCGAAAAACTAATATAAATTTCACCAATGTTGGAAACCCACATAGACGAAAATTCTGACCAGTCTTCTCCTTGAATCGTCATAGGATCAGTACTATCTTCATGCCAAACTAGAATTTGACTTTTTTTTGCAGCAGCAACGTATATAATATTATTAGTATCAATAAATATACCAGCAGCGGCGGCTGAAAGCACATAATTTTTGATAAAAGTAGTTGCATCTCGATTCCATTCTACTGTTGGGCAGAATTTCGGTCGATTGAACGAAACAGCTGGATGATAGAAGCAAAAAAAACAATTATAGACGGATTTGATAAATTTCCGGAGTCAAGTATATAAGGCAAAGCGATAGACACTTTTGATCGAAGAACATTACCTGATATTCCATTAATCACAATCAACAGAAAAACAACGAGCATGTTCAACAGTATACACGAAGAAATAAATGACTAATTGATCATGTTTTTCCTCGTATTTATTCCTTTACTATCGTTATTGACAAGGTTTATAAGTTTAGATGAAGGATCAATGATTGATATGGGTAAACATTCTCTGCCATCACAGCTCATTCTAATATCACGTTCTTTATTTTCATTTTTTTGCGCTTACAACAATCTTACACATGACTTCAGTTCATAACTTGTGAATAAGAGTAACTTAGAAGAGGGTTGAGTGCGAAGATAAATGTTTTCCATATAAGAAAAGTTGTGAACGCCAACGATAGATTCAAATAAAATATTCACTCAGTGGTCTTTCTCTTAAACATTAATATCACTAAATCAATATGAGTCTTATTCATTTTCTTTGCCTGAGAATCATGTTTTGACAATTTTAGGAGATCTAAAAGGCCGACAAGTAGTCGCGGTTATTTCTATGAATAGTTTCATTGTGAATTCCTTCTAATATAGAGTAGATGTATTTATTGTACATACATTTCATTGGTCTTCATCCGATATTTTTGTCTACAAGGCAATCTATTAGCGTCTAACAAGGACGCTATCATTACCACCAGCACTTCTTTGCTTTTGTTTATCAAAAATCTGTCGATATCGATGGCTTGCTGTTTTACTCGCGTTGAACACCAAACGTTGTTCAATAATAACAGAAAACTCATTCATCAATCTCTTTTTTCTTCAACACTATTTGATAAGTGTTTTTCTAAATGTCAAGAGCGTCAGGCTAGCAACCTTGACAATTCTTTCAAACCAAAACAAAACATTGATGTACGTGGCATTAGCCTACAAAGTGAGATACTGTTACTCGGAGAAGGAATTTCGATCATTAAGTCAGATAGGAAGTAGTTCATTATTTGTCCGTCCAGTTTGCTATGTATGTTGACTTTTTTTTGCACGATAGAACGTTATAATTTATGACTTAGTTATTGTTCAAGAATGCTAATATATTCAAGAATATGATCTTTATCTCTATACGAGTTGTAGTTTAGTTTCACCTCGTGTCATTAGAATTAAAAATACCTAAAAACTCGTTGTTCTCAATGAGCATCTATTGTTTGAGAAGATTACTTTCTTTCACCTTTCGCCTTCGTCAAAGTAATGCAGACGCTTCACACAGACATCAATTAAACGAAAATAACTTATCGCCTAAAACCTTCATCTCAACTGACGTAATCAACAGAAAACTATGTCGTTTGCAACTGATGACTTTTTTCGTCTTCTCAACATCGTTTCATACCATATCTTTCACTATCTACTACCAATATTCATCGCATTTGTTCCATTCGGTAACCTGTTCAATCTCATCCTCTTTTTTCAGCCATACCTTCGTACAAATCCATGCTCCATCTATCTTCTTGTTTATGCCATCGTCAGCATCTGCTGGATTGACTTTGTTGCTCTCACAACTTCCCCTAATCTCGTCTTATCGATCGATATTGGTGTGCCATCACTTCCTGTTCGTCGTATTCGCATTTACACAGTTTATGTAGTCATCAATCTGCCGTCTGCCTGTGATTGAGCTAAATCAATATCGTCCAAGTAGAAAAGAACAACAACTGATTCTCATGCTATGCTCAGTCGAATATCTGTCATAGTTGTATGTCAGACTTCATCATCTACTTATCCGATATATGCAGTAGCTATGCGTAACAATCAAAAGTCGATGGAGACAAAGATGGTTAACTTGTTTTTGTATAATTTGTTTGTAGCAAGTTGTGTGAGTTTTGATATTTGTTTCGTAACAGCAAGGATTTTTCGAAATGAGCTGCGTGTTTGAAACATTACATTTGTTTTTTGACTTCTCTGCATGACCTTTTTCGCTGAAAAATACTGCTTCTACAAAAAATGTTTTTCGAGAACCTATTGGAACTACGAAGTTCACATAGTCGGATAAATTTTACCTATACTTTATTTCTGCCTCCGTTCTCAAGCTTAGGGAGTTATTTAAAAAAAGAGAGAATGTATACAAGATCAAATAAGTACCAAGAGCACAACAAGACTCCATTGTATTATGTGCGTATTTTCCATATTTCCTGAAATTCTCTAGAAAATTATATATTCTCTGCCTTTATAGAAGTTCTGTTTTTATGCCGCTATTGGTGACTCTTGTGTTCAATTATAGCATTGATAGTATATAGGACTATATATTTTTATTTTTATCATCTTCGAGAATGAGATTTACTATTCTGTTGATTTGATAACAATCATATGTTCTCAGACTATGCGGACATTGGTTGCCACTGATAATAGAAAACTAATAGCACGTAAGTCTTGTGAAAGATTGAATATCAGTTCTATCAATTTGATATTCATAGCTATAACGAGTACAACAGCAGGTGAGTTTGTCTTCATTTTGTTTGAGTAATATAACAGTAGTTGTTAGATACAATATTCCTTCTTCAAACATTGTTTCTGGATTATGTGCTAATTATATATTTTGTTGTCAATGATGTTTTCTCTTACAGCGAGTGTATTTTATTCATTTGGGGAACATCGGAATGGATGAATTCGATGTGCTACTTGAAACGCATTCGTGTTGTTTCTAATAATAGCTCTAGGTTCGTTACTGCATATTATCCCACGTTTATTTTTTGTTGTAACTACTGATTGTACGAACACCATTTAGACAAGAAGTTTATTATGGAGAAAAACTTGACATGTAAAAATCAGAAACTCGGCGTATTTTCATATTGTTAAGTATCATTCGCGTATAAACGCGTTCTTTTTACAAAATATTTATGATTTCCTCTTTCAATAGATGAATATATATATTAAAGAAAAGCAACCTTGGTATCGATAATCGTTAGGCGTAAAAAAGTGAATAAAAAACATCACCTAATTCGATGTGCCTACACGAGGAAAAAAGTAATGAATAGAAAAAAAATACAAATAAGCGTTTATCAATATATTCAGCGTAGGTGAGATAAAAAACTTCACTGAATCACTCCTCACATGGGTAATGGACCATAACATACAAAAAAATATGAATATATACCAAGTCTGATTCTTACACAGTTTGATTACACGAACGAAATCGAAAGAAACAGGCAAGTTAATATTCGTAAAGCATACCTTACCTTTTTTCTGATCGATGTATCGCAAACTCAGTCAGAAAAATGCGTAGTTTTTTCCTTTGGTAACTTGACCTGTTTTCAATCTAGATCATTTTTATTCGAGAGTGTTCTGTACCATCTAGATTTCATCAAAAGATCTGCGAAGTTGTCTTTGATTATGAGCATTTGGAATGTCAATACGATTATTGTTTATTCAATAAATGATACGATTAATTGTGATATTGCTTCGATATTTTAGGTCGAACTAACATGGCAAAATCGGGTGGAGCATCGACGTGTTTTTCCATATCTCTCTGTGTTTTAATCTTTCTCATCATTGCAGCATTAGCTGTTGCTATATTTGGAACAACATATTATACACGCGAGAAGAAGGCTTTGTCGATCTACAAGGAAACAAAATGTTTAGTGACCAACTACACACAGATTAATAAAACTTGCGTAAGTGAAACATGTACAGGCTCCGGATTTCTTCGTACATGTCGAAAAAATTCCAAACCATGTAATTTACAATTCTATGCAGTACAATACAATATAACTAATCAAACAGTCGATACGACATTCACTGGATCCGGTGGACCGGGAAGTAATTCGGTACGTTGTTCATATTGACAATTTCTTCGAAATTCATCTTGAATTTTAGTTTAATCATACATATACATGCTACTATCGTACTACAAACATAACAAAAATCCGATGGGATTGGCCACAACCACGAACATATTTGATTGTGCTAATCGTAGGATGGTCGTGTTTTGGTGTCTTCCTTATCGCTACAATTGGTATTTCGATTTTCTTCTGTTTGCGCAAAAATTCCATGAGTTATAATCAATTACCATAATCAAATATTAATAATACAGTCTAACATTTCGTCGATTAAAACTGACATCGTTCACAACATTTTTTTCTAGTATTTTTCTCATACATTTCTTACTCTATCAATAGTCTTCCTATACAAACATAAATCTTTCTCTAAGGCAAAGAACATGCTTTACTAATTATGCAACATGAACTTAGTATTGTATTGTATTGGTATGACTAGTATATGATGCAGAATTTGTAGTTACAGAGTAAAATTTAATTAGTATATGTGCACAGTTCCATAGTTTGTATTCAGATGCAGCGACACTTCCATAACGTTCCTAATCAATCAGACTTTTGAAGCAATACGTGTTTGTTTAGTTTATGAACGCAATTATTTATCTGTGTTATGACAGAAACCGGAAAGGAAACGACAGAGAGAGCGAGCGGCTAACTGAAGTTTTACTATTATATTCTATTCAATCTACTTGATGAAAAGATAAAAAAAGCCGACGGAATAGTTAATAATCGCTTTCTTCTCATATTTACATACAATTTATGATTTTATACGGCGAATATAATTTTTTTCTATTTATTTCCTAAAGACAAATGTAGTAAACTACATTTTAGGATCATAATCTGATATTGCTATCTTCATTTTAACTGCTCCACCGAGAGCAATATCTCGTGCCAAATATGGGATGTATAATAGTGCTTCTATTAATAACCGTCTTCACGGTTTTATTCTCAGAAATATTGAAAAGATTTCCGACTTGTTCGTTAACTATTTGCAATGTCAATATCGTTCTTTCATCATCAACGAATTAAAAATTCTACTACTTTCTAACCTATGCTTTCCTATTTTATATCAGTGGATCTGCATGATAGACGTGCAAAAATAGTTTTGGATACTCTTGAACGAAAGTTCATCGAATGAATGCGTCATCAACTTCAAGGAGAATAATTTAGGAAACTTCCTCGTGTTATAAACAACGTATCTCTTTCATTTTGCTCTTACTTTTGTTTAGCATGACATGTCTAAGCGAGTTGTTTCTATTACTTTTCATCACACCATTAGCTACTCAAAATCTACGCACACTAAAATTATCTCATCTCAACAATACTCTCTATACATGCTCTGATCCACAATGTTCGCCTTCGACTCTTGTCACTGTTTCCAACGTTAGACACTGTCAAATGGTATGCTTAGCCACTACCGAGTGTCGCACGGTGGTGTTTTATCGCTCGACTAATCAGTGTCAACTATTTGTTGATATTGCAACTTACATGGGTACTTTGTCAATTCAGATGGATGTGGAGACAATGATTGCTATTGATNGGTATGCTTAGCCACTACTGAGTGTCGCACGGTGGTGTTTTATCACTCGACTAATCAGTGTCAACTATTTGTTGATATTGCAACTTACATGGGTACTTTGTCAATTCAGATGGATGTGGAGACAATGATTGCTATTGATAACAGAAAACTATCAGCTCGTAAGTTTTGCGAAAGACTGAGTATAAGTACTGTCAAATTGTTTTTCATAGCTACAACGAGCACAACGACGAGTGAGATGATATTTATTTTTATTTTAATAAAAATTCTTGTGATTCTTTTAGCCACTACAGCGAACCCATATCTATGTAGTAATATGACCATACTTGCTGGATATAACATGCCCGGCGATGATATAACTTCTAAAATTCTTGATAGTTATGCGCTGTGTTGTCAGTGGTGTTTGACTTATAGTGGTTGCGTGGCATTTGTCTGGGGAGTAACAGGAGCATCCACTTCGAGATGTTATTTAAAAAATGCTGTTCCTGCCTCTACAGTCGACTCAAAACTTATCAGTGCACATTATTAGCAATGTCTATGAGCATGATACATTATGTGAAATGATTCTAATAGTTCGCATACTGTTCTACGGCGGATAAATCATGACTTGATGACACTCAGATGAAATAAGAAAAAACACCGATGAGGGAAAAGTATTAGTCACTCATTGGTTACTTATACCCCATAAACAGAAGGGTTGTCTTCTGTGCATGTCTTTCTAATTGTTCAAGCGAGGAGAAAATATTGGAACAAAATATTCCATTGCTTTGTAAACCATCAGTGACCGAGTGTTTCCTAATTAGAACTCGAAGTTTTGTGTATTTTACTTCACTATTGGTAAATAAATATACATACGAAATTACAATGAGGATAAATTTGAAAATTCTGCTTTGCAAGACATGATATGTACATATAGATTAGCATCTATGTTATTTAGTTTGAATTCTTTACAGAAAACTATGATAATATCCTATATCTCCATAAAGCTTTGCTGCTCACACGAATGTCCACTTTTGAAAATGACTATTCTCAAACGAGAAGTGTGCTGCGAGCTTTTTAACATTCGTGCATAACTCTGTATAAAAGGCAACACAAAATGTTCAATTCCACTCAATCATAATTTTCACGTGCGCACTTCAAAAAGAATCTTTCAAAAGCTACCTTTTCTACTGTAAACAACGTATCTCTTTCATTTTGCTCTTACTTTTGTTTAGCATGACATGTCTAAGCGAGTTGCTTTTATTACTTTTCATCACACCATTAGCTACTCAAAATCTACGCACATTGAAATTATCTCATCTCAACAATACTCTCTATACATGCTCTGATCCACAATGTTCGCCTTCGACTCTTGTCACTGTTTACAACATTAGACACTGTCAAATGGTATGTTTAGCCACTACTGAGTGTCGCACGGTGGTGTTTTATCACTCGACTAATCAGTGTCAACTATTTGTTGATATTGCAACTTACATGGGTACTTTGTCAATTCAGATGGATGTGGAGACAATGATTGCTATTGATAACAGAAAACTATCAGCTCGTAAGTTTTGCGAAAGACTGAGTATAAGTACTGTCAAATTGTTTTTCATAGCTACAACGAGCAAAACAACAAGCTCGACGACAAGCTCAACAACAAGTGAGTTTATGTTCATTTTCTTTTATTCTGAAATTTATTGCGATGGTTGTAGCAACTACACCAGATCCATACGCATGTGGTAATATGACACTACTTATTGGGTATAACGTGCCCGGTGATGACATAACTTCAGAAGTCTTCAATAGTTATACTCTATGCTGTCAATGGTGTTTGTCTTACAATGGCTGTGTGGCGTTCACCTGGGGACTATCAGGATGGGCAAATTCAACATGTTTTATAAAAAATGCTATTCCTGCTTCTATTAACGATTCTGAGTTTATCAGTGCACACTATTGATGATGTTTTTTAGCGTGTCACATGATATGAAATGTAATAGTTCGTATACTGTTTATGTTGGATAATTTATGAATTGGAGACAAGACAAATAATATAATAAGACTGCCTATAAACAATTTACGAATCATTCTTCGCACACTTCCAGCTTGTTAACATAAGACATTTCGTCTGTACACATGTTTGACTCACTTGCCAATCTTCTTTTTGTCTTCCGTAGACATCCAGAAAGCTTTTTAGCAAACTGCTTTTTTCGATTAAATCAGAAACGTCACTGCTTCAAATTCGTACTAATAACAATCAGATTCCTTTATGTACTCGTGATAATCTGTCTTTTCGATCCACAACTGCACATATTCAAATATAAAATCAATCTCTACAGAGAACGATTCGCACTTAACGAAAAGTTTTACATACTTACCTCTGTAAGCTTCTTCATCAAGTCGAACGAGTCCATGGAGGCCTTTATCATAAGCCTATCGAAAGCATATTTAAATGAATTCAAAACATATTATCGCAACATATCAAACGAATCTCTCGGGCTTTGTTCGAAGCAAGATCTTTCTCCTTGAAAATTTCATAATAGAACAGAGAAATATTTAAAGCCAGATTAAGTCGAACTGAATTTGTTTCTATCATTTGCATCTTTCCTATTTCATATCCTTCATTATAACCGCGTTCCAATTCTTGAGCAAAAACCTCAGCAATAGTACTAGCATGACGAATATCTACTTTCGAACATAGTGGTACTTTGACGTTAAGCGTTTCACGTGACCTCAAGTAAGTATCGATGGTAATCGTCTGTCATTTTCGTATAGAAAAGCGTTGATTTCAGTTTCTTGGACGTAGAATTGAGATATATAAGTGAAAGTTGAATTACGCGAGTCTTATTAAAATTTCGTAGCAAACATCTTTCCGTTCATTGTCTATTACTTGCTGAAGATTGCCACTTTAAACAGTCCAAAGCAATTCACTACTCATTTCAACAAGGTTTTTTCATACCATTCATCATGTCATGGTATTTAAATATGTATCGGTGTGATCGAATTAAATGCACTATAACAACAGATGCCATGTACATTTTACTTTGCTCAGCTAATTTCCAGGTTGGTCTGTATCGTACTATGTCATGTATATTATTCTAATGTAAAGACAACATGAATAAGACTCGCATACTCAAATCTCAAACTATATACTTTATTCTTCGCGAGATTGAAATGAATAATAAGAGTTAGAAACCATTTAAGATAGCGTGCATTTGGAGCCAGATGATGATGGAGGTACATCATCACTCTTTAATAGGAGACCGTACGTACGGTCGGATAGCTTTTCTATCAAAAACACGCAGTGCTTGACCAACAGAGATAGTACTGGCTTCTGTTGTGTGCAGTGAATGATCCCGGCTTGATGTGGCATTGAAATACCATTTTGTACTTGATTAATTTTCCGCTATGATCTTTCACTGGTTACTCTTGAACATATTTAGCTGCACCTCTTTCACAATGAGTTGCCAGATACATTCATCTTTGAAAATAGCATTTGTAACTTTTGAGTATCAAGATAGCCGATAGACCACGCACTTTTTGTATGCTCATTTCCTAACTCGGCTTTATCATGTGAACATTTGTCGACAACTTTTAGTGCATAACTAAGAACACATGGATCCCTATAATTGAAATTATATTTGGGATCAAAATCTGATTTTTGTATTTGTAGATGCGTGATCGCTGACTCTAGTTGAGGGTGTCCATGACCCGGAAGAACATAATTCAAGATATCACTGTCATTAGTTTTTCCAACAAGTTGAGACGCTGCTTATTTTTTAAGTTTATACCAGCTAATGATTTGGTCTCGGTTACTGATCGCGTCATTATGCTGCAAGCTGAACGATAATCACTCTCGCTGTAATCATATGACGTGTTTGTAAAATTCAAAGATACGCCAAGCCTTTCTAAGGCTTGATTGAGAACAGCAACCATTGTCTCTGGCTCTTCAACAGTGCGTGCCAAGGCATTTGACTTGTTCTTATCCAATGATAGTTTCCGATCATATGAATCTGGTAAACAGATTCAACGTTCGCTTGGCACGAGCATGGGAGCAAATCACGGTGGAAAAGTATCAATCGTAGTCGAATCTCCATTCGATGCACCTTTTATTTTTGGTAGTTCTTGAGTGACGGTAAAAATATCTAATCGTGGTGCATTTGCTGTAGGTTAAGAGTCGAGATCATTGGGTAATTGTTCTTTCTTGATTGAAACGGAAAGATACGTTATGGATGATAGACGAAAATTTTATTAGAGGTGAAATCTCGAAATATTTTATAAATGTATACTATAATGATCAACAGTATAACTTCCAACAGCATTTTGGTTCACGAGAATGTTTCAGCAGCACATGCATACCAATCAATGGAAAACAAAACTGTCAGTAGAAAAGAAATTTCGACGGGTTATTTCTCAGTGTTGCACAATGAAGTCAAAATAGCCTCTCGTTCTCTTTCGTTGCTATACTAAATGCCGAAATGAATTACGGTTAGAATAAAACCGCATTTTTACCTATTTTACTGTTTTTCACAGTCGGATAAACAGCCACGGTGAACCACATTCCTGCATTCTAATTCGAACAACAAACAGACGCTCGTTTGAAGATAGCAGCGCGTTCTGCACACACTCAATTGCAGATGATCAATATTTTCGATGCATGTCAAGAGAAGTTTATTTAATGATTTATAAAAGATGAGAGAGACAAGTTCTGTGATGGATGTTTTGTTATGCGATAAGAGTTCAAGAGAGACGTAGATTGCTTCAGAAGAGAAGTTTAAATGGTGAAGAATGATATATACGTCGCG